AATAGTAGCACTGATGAATCCTTGATATAGTGACTCGTCTTCAACTCAAATTATGTTTTTTTGAACCTCAAATCCAAAATTACAGACATCATATAGAAATAAGAATAATTTGTGAACAAATAATACTTGAAAAGTACTTGGTGTGCAACAAACAAAGTGTTATTTATTAGATTTAAATAATCAAGAATAGTCACATGTTCTTCAATATAAGAGAACAATTCAACAAACACATGCATTACAAAGGAAAGTGTAGGGTACTTCTTCCCTAACATTAATCTTGAGGTCTCTTCAAACCTTTTTAGATGATTACAGATGCTTTGAAACCTTCGCAAGTCATCATCACTAAACCGCAATTGACCTAGCTTGATGCTTCTGATTTGAGTATCGATATTGATACTATTCTTGAGGCCGTTCTGAACTTTAATTGTTTTTTCAATCATGTAATATGTTGAATTCCAACATTCAAGATCAACATCAGATTTTCACAATTGACAAAACTTCACTGCGGATTGCTTTCTTTGCTGAGGATTGAAACACAATTTTTTCACTATAAAACATAGCCTTTAGATAAAATTAGGGGCGTTATCGTTTGAAATTTTGTCGTCAATCAAAATATCGTCCATTCTTCCAAAGATTTTAAAAACACTTCCACTGAGGAATTGATAATATGTGACAAACATCTGATGCTTAAATTATCTATGTTCCAATTCTTCAATATGCTTTCACGAATGCAATAATCGTCAATAGAATTTTCCAGAGTTGACATTAGAGTGTGGTTGTTTGACACATTGTCCATAGTCAAACATCCAACACGCATGACAATTTTAGATTTCTTCAATGACTGCTAGATAATTTCCATCATTGCGGCTCCACTGTGATCAGTCGAATTTGTAAAAGCCAGAATTTTTGTGTTTAGGATCCAATCTAAACCAACAAAATGGATGATTATAGCCAAAAAAGAAAATTGATTTGGAGATGTCAACATATCCAATGAGATATGTACAATAGAATTGCTTTTGAACAATTACTTTATAAATTAATTTAATATTTTCAAAAGTGTTAAAAATAACTTTAACTCAATGATGGTGAACGTTTCAGTTTCACACAACACAAAATATTTAATTGCCTGACAAATAAGATTGTTGAAAATATCTGAAATTACTGCTATTTTTTTCTCCAAACCTGAAGAATTTTGGAGATAGCAGTACATTGGTCCCAACAATGCATTACTATTTCCAGAATATTGACATTTATGATGACTCCTCACATACTTCTTCTGATTTGATGTGCTTGATCTAGTCTTCTTGAAATCATCCTCAGAAAAGCACCATGTTTTTGTGCAATATTTACAATACAATATCTTTGTCTACACAATTAATGTGTTCATAAACTACACCTGTTGGTTTATGAAACTCAATCGTCTGGGAAAGTTAAAATCTGGAAGAACGCAAGTTGTTGAACCTTGCTTACAAAGGCACTGTCTGCCTTTGCGTCCAGTAACTTTCCTGGGAAAAGAGCAATATAAGAAAAATGTTTAGAATGTGCATCAATTATCAATAAAAGAGAGTAAATAGATAAAAAATTATTAACGAGAGAACTTTACATTATTTCAACTGAAGCTAGTAGCTTGTCCAAATTATTTAAGGCAATTTCTACTGAACACATCGGTTTGAAGTATATTTGACATAAATATTAGACTTTTAACAATTTTAGTAGTGAGTAAGTAACTTTGAATGATGTACTTGGGATGAAGAATCTATACACTTATGATAATTGTATGAAGAACAAACATAACTTACAATCAAAAGAGTTATGAAAAGTTCTTACAAAAACATCTATTCACGTTATTTGAAAACAAGCTTGAGAATTAAATATGAAGTTCCCCGCTTAGGCCTTTCAATATGGAAAACTTTCTCGGAGAACTACAATCAACAAGAAATTATTTGATTTGATCAAAACATTGACTATTAAAAAGACAAGAAAAAAACATTGTGATTTACCCGCACATAAGGAATGGTCAGCCCTTCAATGATTTTGAAACAAATCAGAACCCTATTTGTATCAACACACCATGTTGTATCAATCAATCCATACTAGAGAATAAGTGAAAGTATATGAACTGTCAAAAAGTTGAAGTAATTTTGAAATCAGTACACGCCAACTGCCACATAAAACTATCATCACATATCAATTTCACGAGATTGATGGCCTCACGCGCTTTATGATGGTGACCAAGTTTGACCCGTATTTCAAACAAACAAATCTATCCACTTCTTTGATCATCAATGGTAACCTACCAACGCTATGATCAAGGGAGAAAAGACACCATTCCTTTATAATGGCTACACATCTTGAACTTGAGTCTAGTGTTTTGATCAACGTTGAGTTGAGCTTAAGGACAAAAAAATCCATCAATTAACTAGATAACTTAGAAAATTTGCTGCTAGAGATCAAAGTGATAATAAGTGTTTACATTCAGCAAAATTACCTTCACAAAGTTTTCAATGATAAGTTGGCCGTTGACGGCGACAAGGTAGACAATACACAAATTGAAGCTCACACTAATACACTTGGTACTGAACTTGCACTCACTTCACAAGCAACAAAGCTCTTGACGGTGAGGATTGAAGGAAAGATAATGCCGCCTCCTCGCACCCCACCTGCACAAAACAACCTTCCCATCCAGCTTGTCTAGCCTTACGCAACGCCTATTTGCGGAGACTCACTCTTGAGCCAAAGCAGCTTCAGCCAAAGCAGCAAGCCCGCCAACCAGTCGATCTCTAGAAATCATCATTCGCTTTACCTCCCTTGACGGTCCTCCACTCATTATTATATTCACATCGAATACTAGATTTTGGGTAGGATACAACACTCTATCCGAATTGAAACCCAACCCGACTTGAACTAGAGTTTTTGGTTTTTACCTAAACTCGATCAGAACCCTACACATCTTTAACTTGTATTCAATTTGTATTTCCTGTTACATGACATACATTAGGTTTTACTAAGATATGACGATATATTTTAAGAAAACATAGTTATTTTAAAATTGTTAAGTTTCAGCAGCATCAAAAATAAAAAAATGCGCACATCAAATAAAAATGCTCATATTTTCCAATCCAAATTTCACTCTCCATTTCTTTGTTTCTGACGTTGGTTATGATCGCTGACGACCGATCACAATGTCCGACAAAGGATCCATCTCACAAAACGCCTTTTTAGCATCAGCAAGTCATAGAGTTTGGATTGCAAATTAGTGTACAGGACGCCAAGTCTTGATATGTCTTGCGCCAATTTGAAACGAACCAAGAAGAATGTTCTTTAATGTTCTTGCGCTAGCGCAGCAAGAACATCAAATACTATAGCGCTCCCTTGTGTAGAGAATACCAAGACAAGCACAATTCTATCCAACATAGCGTATAATCAAATCATTACAAAAAAAGTCAAAGAAAGATAAGATCCATTTTTTCAACAAGAAAAAACTGAACTTCATATTGGATTCCGTCTATATGAACATTGATGTCATCAATATGATCTTTGATAAGAACATCATGGACAATATCATTAGAGAATTGTTCTTTTGTGTGCATGAGGAGTCTAAGTCTTTATCATTGAAGAGTATGGAGATTTTCATCCTAGTTTCCAATACCATGTACTTATACTAAGTCTTGATCAAGAAAAATCTTGAAGCATTCCAAGAATTTTCTTGATCACAACTCTATTGATTTTTTTTTTTCAAACTCTTGATGTTATGAATCAACACAAAGAAATCTTCAACAATGAGAAGCTTATTGTACTCAATAATCATCTCGTCTGCAAATTTGTCCAAGTGGGTATCGCCATTAATATGCAATGCATCTTCGATTTGTTAAAATTTCAGCAAGTTTGAATGTTCTCTCTCGATAGTGACAACTCCACTCATCGATGAGTTTCATATTTTGAAATTAAAATTTTTCTCTGGAAAAATGATCAATCATACAATCTACATTTGTTGACCCTACCATTTTATCATCGACATATCGCATTAAACATTATTGCGATGATCCTATGCATTCTTGATGCATTCATTCTAAACTAGCAATGCAAAAACGTTGATTTCAGCACCTATAATGAGACCACGATAAGGGGTCACATTTTGGTGTTGTGATTCAAATTAACAAGAAAGCTGACTTTGATTTGATGTTGATTTGATGCGTCCCTCATAAGATCGATCCCTTGTCAAGGACGATTATCATTTGATGCATGATGGATTGATTTATAAGACTCTCCAAGATTTAAACATTCATCTATGTAGTCAACAGAATTTGTAGCTAGAATTGGAATTTAAGCATTTTTCCACATTGCCAACAAAATTTGCAGCTAAAAATGAGAATCACATGCTAAAAACATACCAATCGATGAGCTCACCTTAAGCATATTTTATACTAGATGCTTCAACATCGATCTTGAAATCATGTGATTTCATCAAAAATATATTCGAGAAGTATTGAGCACAATTGATCAAGTCTTGGTTGGTTGAAAAGATCTATTGTGTAGAGAAATATCAACAAACACTATACAACACCTATCGACATGGACATCACTACCAAACAAGTATCAATAACCAGCATCACACCACGTCTTTCAATGAGGTTACGACTTAGGGCCTGATAGTTTTGCTGCATTGCAAATGTTTTGTGGTGTATTGGGTTTTTGCCACTACGAATGATGTTGAATCTGATTCAACATTTTGAAATGGGAGAAGTATAACTTTTGACATGCCAGATGAACATTACATTGAAAAACATTCTCCAAATGAAACATATCCATATAGTAATAAGGTTGAAGATTCATGATTGAAAAACATTCTCCAAATGAAACATATCCATATAGTAATAAGGTTGAAGATTCATGATACGTTCTAACGAACGGGTGCTTTTTACGAACGGGTGCTTACTTTTCAATCATATGCCAATATTTGAGATTTTTGGAGACTGAATCTAAACTATATTCATTAGATGTGCATGCCAAGTTCGATTTATAGTCACTTAGATTATAGGCTATATTATAAGCTTTAAATAAAAAACTATTATTTGTATTAATGAGAGTTTTGAAAAATTCTTGTACATAATGACAAATTAAGTAGTTAAATAAACTAAGATTTTATAGATTTAAATCTCTAACAAATGATTGCAAAGTCATTACTTCTTGACAAATTTTTAAATTAATTCGTGAATATATCTTTTATAACATTTATAATCATAGATATCATTCATGTATGAAACTAATGAAATTAATTTATAATCCAAAACATCATACTTTTCATCTTAATTATGATGAATCATACCTTTTCAAAATTATGTTATAATACTAATAAAGTGTTGAGGTGCAAGACGGGCATCAAGTCTAATTGTACATGGAAAAACGCTAAGAATCATTCTAACGTTTGGCTCGGATGGTGGGATAAAGAGTGGCCTGTCCAAACATGCTTGCCTGCTGTATGTAACCTTCACTTCAATCTGGTGGTATTCAATCCACACCCACTTTGCTTTCAGTGGCCACTAAGATGAATGTCTTCTTTCAAATCGCGCGACCAACGACATTGTAGTATAGTCAGATACTCTCATTGGATCAAGCTTTACTAGTAGGATAAATTTTTACAGGCATCACGTGATGATATAAACAAGATCATCTGGATTCACAATCCAATTGCTCTTAGGGTTGGTCAGAACGTAAGGGCTTGGAGCACCCAATGTTCCTTTCACACGAAACAAACCAAGAGCTATAACACCTTGTTCTCTCAAAAGTCCGTGAAATAACTCAGAAAAGGGCCTATCCGCATACTGTGCAGGGACAGTAATTTGAGCTAGCAATTTCAAAATATTATCATCGATATCGTCAGCATCATCATGTTCGTGCATCTCTGCCTCACCCGTTTTCAGAGGCGCCTTCACGTTATAGGTTCCACCTCCTTGCACCAGTTGCTCCACTACGGAAACAGTATTCTTGTTGTAAAAGGATGATCTCCTGTAATGGTGCCAGAAACCTTGTAATGGTCAGACATTTCTTCAAGGACACTGACTACACTTATCTCTCGAGGCCCTGGACATATTTAAATGAGAATGTTACGAAAGATTACGGGGTGTCAGCAAGTGCCATGATCCTTTCACTTCGCATTATGCAGAATGCTCGTGCATGATTTTTACGCGGGCGGATCATACTAAGGTGTTACACTGTTAGTTAATTTTCAAATTTCCGAAGCTTCTGAATGGTACATCGGCTCGCAACAAGCAGACAGCTTCAGTAAGTAAAAGATTCACTAATTATATTGCTTTGAGTTTTGACTTCGATTAGTTTGTAACGAACAATTGTATTTTCATCAGCACATGGTCATAGAACCACTCACAAAAGGAAGCCAAGCATGCTTGAAGATATAGCCTTTCCTTCCATGAATGGAAGAACGAAATGATTGAGGATATCTCGGTTGCGCTTCAAATCACTTTGCGAGAAATGCGCATGAGACATTTCATACTGGGGCTCAAGGTAATAAAATGTCTCGGCATGCTGCATCTCCACAATCATTAGTTCTACTGACTTCCTTCCGTACAATCTTTGTACATTGGCCGCAATTACGATGTTATCGACATCACTCGTGTATGCCGTTGGGGCTCTCTTCACAAACTTGCTGTCCTCAGATCCGCAAGCCCCAAAATCAACAGGTATACCTTGATCAGATAAAATAACAACATTCCCTGGGACAATGAAATTGAGATGAAGATGAGCTCAGTGAAGATAAGTCAACTACTACCAGGTCACAATCAACGTGGCGATAAGGTTGAAACGAACAAGAAGCCAATGAAAACACAAGATTTGAAAAACTCACCTGCTTGAAGAACGCCACCGCGCATCAAATCCAGTTCATAAACAGGAGAACCTTTCAGATAAAATACACCGTGGAAAACTCCTACACTGCCCCACTGTTTCGCACTCGGTATTTGAGGATAGAGTATGACAATTGGAGGATTGGGAGAGCCTGGCTTGCGTAGCTCCAAGAGGAAGTAAAATAGATGGGTAGGCCAACCTGCTTGGCAGCACACTAGAATGTGTGGAGTATTAAACGCAACCATAGAAAGTGTTCTCTCTTGAAGATTTTTCAAAATAAGGTCTGCCCTTCGATGGAGAACAGCTGGGTGAGGTCGCTGGTTGAGTGCTAACGGAGGCCATGCAAGAAGATCTTCAGCCGCTTTCTCTAAAGATATACCCTTGGGAAAGCGGAACTCGAGCGAAGTATGAACCCGTTCTGACTCTAAATAGCTGGTGCTGTCCACATCAGTTTCCACTTCTGGCATTTCGAGGTCGCGGCCCTGGAGTATCCCTATTTCTTGGGGACCCACTCGATGAACAACATTAGGATCCCAGAAGTCTTTCACAGAGAAGACTCTACGAATAACTGATCTGAACTGTCTCTCCAGCATAAATGACGGACCCTTCGGAAAAATGCTAGGGCTACTGCTTCCCAGAGAAGCACTTTCTATACCAACGACAGGATTGCTGCCTCGAAAGAGATTTGCCCGATTTCGCCTCCACCTGCCGCTTTTAGTTCGAACTTCCATCCCTTCATTATTTCTCCTGATCTCCGAATCATCACTAGAATAGTCGCATAAGTTTCTAATAAGCCGGGATCTAATGTCTTCATCACTTGAGTCAAACGTTGAAATCGCGTATGCTGTGTGGAGGTCATTGGAGATCACGATGCCAACGTCATCTGGTCTGATTCGATAACCTCTAGCATTGAGTAGCACCTTTCGGACTGCCTTCCCCTTGTATAGAACCAGTGTATCGATTGCAAACAAAGTGCTGTTGAAGGTCGCATGGAGAATCTCAACCACCTGCACATTTAAGTCATAGATTGGCACAGAAGGTAGAGGCAGAAAAGTATGGAGCAATCATTGTGAGGTGCAATGTGCAAATTTGCAAAATATGAAATCTGTTGAATTCTTTTTTCAATGTTCAATCAGGTGTTACACTTGAAAGAGAAGCAGCAGTTCGAGTGTATTGTTTTTAGTAGAGAGAGTTTGGTAGATCTTACATCTTCGAACGGAACGTCATAGAAAATTGGTGGAAGGATGACCGGATAAACCTCGTTGTCAAAACTATGGAAATACTCCGTCAAGAAGTGATTTTTGTTCAGATGTTTTAGATGGATCTCCGCAGTAAATAAGTTTGTGATGAGCGTGTACAAGCCTCTTACCAAGCAGCTGCAGGTATAACAGCGTGCACAACAATATGGAACGACGACGAACAGTTATACAATTGGCCATATAGTATACCAGTGCTTATGCGTTCTGGAGTCCAAGTAGATGATACCCCAAGGGTTTACTGTTTCTATGTTTCCACAATGAATACGTCTAGAGCATCATTGTTCTAACATTTGAACGATCCGGACTTGCCCCACACGACTTTCCTAACTATGCATCCTTGTACTTCCCGATCCCGAATTAGTTTTGTGATCTGCGTTTCCACTGTTTATAACCTGTTTGGCACTTACCAACAGAGGTTTTTAAATTCAATCATGTGAAATCATATAGAGTCAAGAGGAGAGTCAGGAAAAGCACTGACCTACGTGCCATCATCTTGTAGTGAACCTTTACTGGACATATGACCTCAATACCCCCAGCATGCGACTCATCCCAGACAGCACTTGTCTGTGTTTCAGGATCAAGTACTTCCAAGAGGATCCGCATGTCGCGTCGGTGGCGTTGTCCGCGACAAAAGCGATGCACAGCCAAGGCTCGGACTATCTGGGCCGAGTCTTCAACTTGGGGATCCTGATGGACCGTGCAGTCAGCGATCAAAGGCTGTACAGAAAACTTTTTTCTTGATCCCCTTCCATCAGCTGCCTCTCGGATAACAGGTGGAGTTCATGCTATAACATACATTTTCTGGTTCATTGCATGCTGATTCTCAAGAATTCCATGATGCAAAGTATCGAGTGAAGTCACTTACTGGAGCGTCATGGTCTGCAAGAAGAAAGAAAGCCATTGCTTTGTCTGCGCTAACACGCTCAAGATCAGACTGTCGAACGGGTGAGCCTTCAATAAACTCAACCAAATCATCGTAAAGAGAGAGAACCTGCTTCAGTTCGAATCTGCAAATGATCATTCAGTTAAGATCTAAATTTGTACACTAGATCATTCCCCGCCAATTGTGCTCAATAAACAAATCTATGTGTCTATATATAGATATCATATGTTGGGTAGTTGTGACAATGCCTACATCCAGCAAGACTGGCTGAGAATGCTCTATGTTAGTTCGATAAGTGATCTTCGATGAGGAGAATGCATGAACGAAAAATCTTTGCGCGGAACAAAGGACGAAAAACAAGAACTTGAGCATGATGACACGCAAGATGATTGCTGTGATGGGAAGGCTTCCAAGTTAGCAGTCCACAACTTAGCAATATCGTTAGTTTCGTGAATCATGCAAATTACCAAGCGTTGAAGTGACAACTGTGAAACTCTTTGACTTTGAGTTACACTTACGTTGGGGAAAATGGAGCCAAGATAACAACACGCAGCGGATATGCCTGAAGGTCTGAAATCCAAGTGGTACGGCAATAATCAGTCAGAAGCTTCTGATCGTTTACCTCGATATTATCGGTCACGTTGCATACATTGTAAAGCTCTGATGTAATCCAATTTGATCTCATCTTTGGAAGTATAAATTTGAGTTTAGTTACACACATTTACTGACACACAGAGATGTAAGAGTTGGAAAAAAACACAATTAGAACACAATACGGAAAAATCATTATCTGATCAGTCATTATCCTACATATATTAACTATTAAACACTGAAAACCTTTTAACATTGTGAGAACCACATTCAAACATATTTATCTACAAACCTTCAGAACGAATGGGATTGTAAAATTCCGCCAGAAAGTTTTGAATCGATTGAACTGAGATGCTCCCACTTATAATAAGAAAGCGGGAGCCAACTATCTTCCTTGCGCTATACGAACCTCCATATGGTCTGATAGACAAAAAGATCAATATATTTTATTCAGAAATTCTTTATGGCTTCAACGAGGTGCGTAGATGACAATGTAGAGAACGAAGCCCTTACTCTGTCAAAACAGATAATTGAATTATGTTATTGAATTTCTTCTTAGAACCAATGGAGACTCATTAATATCCAAGTTAGCTTAGTATTGTGCATTTTGTAGTTTGAGAAGTTGAACCAAATTTTATCTTAGCACCGCCACCTTATGTACTTTTCCATGAAGGATCGGAGTTCCTAGGACAACAAGTCCATTTGTATACGTTCTGAACTTCGGAAACTCAATGCTAGCAATATAAACTAAATTAACTTGCACAGAAATGAAACCTTCGGTACGCCAGTGTGGTGATCCGCCCAATTTGAAGAGGCAGGATGGTAAGTGCAACGACGATTGTCACAATAGTCACGAGCTGACCCAAAACTGTCTTCGGGGTAATATCTCCATAGCCTACCGTTGAAACCTGTGAGCGTTGTAGCAGGTAAATAATGAGTGAACAATACCAAAGATGAAAGATCGACTTCTGAAAAGGTCGGACCAATTTATCCTGATATTATTCGCAAAGGCGGTTTAACATATTTGAAATTCTGGCGGTGTTTAGCGTGATGTTTCCGAACATTGTTTCACGAATCAGCACGTTCTATTCAGACGATGCATGCAAATTTGAGCGGACAAGTGTAGAGCACTAAAACCTGACTTAAATTCATGTACGATTGGTATGCAATCGTTCAACAGAGATTATTGTGCCATCCTTGGTTGCACAACTGTCCCCAGGAAAGCAGATTGAAAAACAGATTAAATGAAAGACCAAAATCCGAGGAAATTGATCATCCGTAATTGCACAGCCAACTTAATCCAGGGAAGCACCAAGATAGAGGAGGACGTACATAAGTCAGTGTTCATACGAATCCAAAGAATCATTGGGAAGCACAACCGCAGTGAAGAACCAAGCAGAAGCAAGTTCAACGAATTCAGTGTGCATAGATCTAGAAATTGACAAGTTTAATTTCTGACCTTTGTCTATGTACGAAGGATCAAGTAAGAAGATCTAAGCATGATATTATCCAACGAACTCCAAATCATGACAGATTGTTTTTGCGAACACAAAGTATGGACTGTTTAGGGTCTAATCGTGTTAGGATATACGCAATTAGTATGAGTGTAATTTCAAGTAAACAATGATATGTGGAAAGAGTACATTTCTGGCTATAATTTCAAAATCTTCCGGCAAGAAGTGTTATTCTGTCAGATAACTCATGTTCCCTATAGGCCAAGAACAATATTTTTCGAAGAAGGTAAGCATGAGCACAAATGCACACGTAACCTAGTCCCTGTAGCTACATGCGACGAAGAAGATTGTTTTCTGAATCAATGTATGAATCGCTTTTTCTCGAACATCCATCCAGGCGAAAAGAAGTGAACTTCTAGAAGATAACGTGCGTCAGGCATTTTGATGGGCGAATAAAGCCTATGGAAGATCTAGAACAGAAAGGACCAGAACTGAAGTAGATTTGTAATCAGAGAGACAAGGCCAGTGGTTGTCTGGAACGCTTTACTATAAGTTCATGTGTTTGAAACATGATAGAGTCTATAGGAAAGGACAAGAACATTGCGAAACCAGAGACAAACCATGAGGCAGATCATGATTGAGAAAAAGATTTTGACGTCACATTTGCCCCGGTTACTTTCATGGTCTCAGTGCGTAGTATATACTGGGAAGAATATGTGTCGTTTAAGAGTCAGGACTCTACATCGGGATCGGTGAAATCTGAATTGAATGATTCTCATGAATTGAACAGTGGGAAGTAGACTTAGCATCTCAGAAGTCCTGTACGTGGAATCTCCTCACGGTACTTCCAAAGCCTGACAAAAGTAACTTGGAGCACCTCAGTCTAATGTCTGTGAATTATCTTCCGTTTTGTTGGCTCACTGTCCTGAATTGACACGCAAAAGTGAGGATTACCAAAATCATTTTTGAAGGATAGGGCATGCAGACAAACTAGTATTTTGTCTTTAACTATTTGTAGACAAGATGAACAGCTAAACCGGATCTTGGTACGTTGGCAATCATGGCACAACCTGCGTGATGTTTCGGAAACAGCATCATGGACGTCAGTTCAGAACCCAACCAGATGATAGCGAAGTTGTGCGAAGTGATAAGTGGAAGACAATAGCTAGCTCCATACCTGACTATGTAAGGTTCGATGAATATATATACATATATATGAAGAAAGATGACACGGATGTCCTTCCTGACCATGAAGAAGCTAAAAGTGACATCCATTGACATGAATCGGTTCAGGGAATATGTATGGTGGAGGAATGAAGGACGTCCACAGCCTATTCTGCTCAACCTGAATAGGCTGAGGGCTAATGTGGATGGGCATAATGTTCGCTCTTCGAGACGCAAAGAAGAAGAGATGAGAACGTTTTTACCTAGGTTACACGGAACTCTAGCTTCGAGCCTCAGACTGAAGCTATCTGTGTAATTCATCCTATTTAAAGGTTCTATGAAAGGACAACACAAAACATTAAGAACTGCAGACAGCAGCAGCAAAACATTTGAAAAAATCAATGGAAAAAATACAAAAGTTTGCATCCTCTGATGGCTAACCAAGCCAAGTATTCAACTTAATTCTTTCTAAAATGGCTACGTCGCCAGACGAAAGGGTGTCCAGCCTTCACAAGAGCTTGCCCGAAAGACCACCATTCCTTACTGTTCTTCGAGTTAAAAAAGTGCATGACGGGTAGAATCACAAGTCAAATGTAACAAAGTCACAATCAAGCTAAGGTGAGAAAACCTGGATGCGATGGGTTTACCCATTCAAACTGCGTGCCAACATCGTGGGCAACAGAGCAATTATGAGGTGGACGTGGATGTATCAAAGTCATACTATCTCTACAGGATGCGATGTATGTTGGGCATCGACGTTATGAAGCAAATGCATATCTGTTATGCTAGTACTTGTCTTTACTCAACTTTCAAATTATCCATTTGAATCAGAATCGCTACACTACAATAGCTCATCTACAGCAGGAATAAGAGCGAACTCCCCTCTAAAATAGTTTTAGAATTTCGAGAATGCAATCTAAGACAAATGCCTGTGGGTTGTTCACAACGTTGGGCTCCCTACCCGATTCTCTGATTTAGATAATACCCTACTCAGAAAACCTTTTCCCAATTTTCAAGCGTCAATTGCAAGAAACGCAAGACATACCGTTACAATGAGAAAGTAAAACGCCTCCCAAAAGGTGATGCACCCTTGCTCTGGGCACGTATCCTTCCTCACACTCGGCGCAACATCATACTCCACCCAGTGAAGAATACCCGCATCCAAGAATACTGCATTCCGTTGCATATTCTGTCTTCAAATAAAACACTTGGGTAGCCACTCTACTTGCATCATTACGTCAAAGTCTTTGTCCAAAAGTAATTGTTAATCCAATATAATATGTGTATTACGCCGCATTCACATAACTCCAATGAGCTTGCTCTGATCACATTCTCTCAGCTAAATCCTAATTTGAAAGGTAGCGTAACTCAATTAAGGCCGGGACATCGTATGAAGACATTTTCAATCTACCGAATATATTCTCACGCTAGCAACTAGACAACTATTTTTATTTACTGGGGGATATTCACAGCACAAAGAGACGTCACTTGCACGCGACACCACCATACGGACTTTTGCGAATGATCACAAAAACCTGTTGTGTTGTGATTTGCTTGGTGATGTACAGAAAGTAACTTGAAGTATTTTTTTCGACATGTCCAGATGCTCTTTTAGCATCACAGGAAAGTAAACTTACGCGACCGCGTCCATACATGGCTAAAAGAGGAAAGAAGTAATTACGTGACAAACTAGTGACAAGTCATGGCTGAGGTGAACATTCCTTCAGCATTCAGCATAATACTTCCCGCGCAGATGTTAGACATCCTCAAAACTAAATCTCGAGTCCGTGGGGGTGATTAAAGGTGGTGGCTGTATCAGTCGAAGCAAGATTTGTATGTAGTATAGAAGCAATTCTGTTGCTGCGAGGGCCCTCCCTTGTGCGAACGTCTACAGTTGCCAGTGCCTGTGGTCCACTATATATCACGTCTTGACATGCTTTCATGGTCACTTGTATGCAATTGACGCTAGCGAAATCACAGAAATCAATGCACTTTTAATAAATTGCTAGAACAGGGGGAATAACACAAATGCAGCATGAATCGGATCTTCTTGCTGACTTGATGACTACTGCTGTAAGTCAATTGACCTCCATGGAACTCAAGTGTTTGTGACAGAAAATGTAATACGTCAAAATAACGTCATACTCAGATTGTAAGTCATAACTTCTTGGGAACACGATATAGAAGCTATGCATGTGTCTGCCCGTGAAGTCCTCTAAGTGAAGTCCTCTATATACAACCCTTACCATGCGTACTAAACAGCTTTCGCAACATTGTAAGGACCCAGCGATTCATATTAAGTTCATCCTAATCTCGTCTGCGCGACTCATCAATGTCTTCTTGGGCGATACGCAAGAAGACAGATGTAATTTTTAAAGCTGAAATTCGTACATATATGTTTGTGCATGACTAATTTCAGTGGTTTACTGCACCACGAGGCCAGATTTACTTCAAAGCACATTAGAGCATATTAGCAGAGATCTCTCATGGTGTGAAGGACACTTACTAACACCAAACGTTGCAATTGTCAGCAGGATTATTTGCTGCATCACTGAGCTTCCAAACAGTCCAACCCTATATGATAAGGCAAATAGTCTGGACGACAAGACGTTAGAAATATTAATGAAGTCATCTCACTTCGACGAGACAATACGATGAGTTCCCCGTCACCTTCCAGAGTTCTCCCTGTAATTCAGTAAGCTACAAGGTAAGAAATTCTCCTTCTAATGCATTATAGTAGACGCTAGAATGGAAAGACAATGCGGAGAAGGGTTCCACTACTCACCTCAAGATTCGAACAAATTGTAACAACCTTATTACACTGTCAACGGTGGGAAAGCTTCTGCAGATCAAGACCCAACTTGCAGTTGTAGGAAGTAAAGTACTCTGACCAACAGACGTTAAAGCTTAGGAGCATAGCAATCCCATGCAATCTGATAATGGTGAAAATCAATTTACAGTGAATGAAAAGTGAAGGATTTCATCCAGCGCAGATTATTCCAGCAAGAACCTAAACCTAATAATACCTGAATACAAGGATGACGGGAACAACGCTGAGGAAATCAATCACTCCCCAGAATGAGACTAGGTAGTACAAGCGAACAGGCTCACTGCAGGTACGACATCCATATCGTTTTTAAATGAGACATGTTATCATTATCCAAACTGAAATTGTCATATAATCGTACAGCTATGTTTTCGATTTGAATTTCGATCAGACCTGTCCAACACTTTGCCCGACAAAAATAGTCAGCTGCAATATTTCGTAGAACTGGCTCCTCTTCACGCTCGTTCTCGTATAAACCAAGTCCCATTTTCTTTGTATGTGTATCAAATCATGATCATGTTTTACTCATTCAATTATCATACACACTCGACACTAAACTGTCTGAGCTGTTTGCATTTATAGCTCCAAGATGAATTACTGAAGATAAGGTTAAGACCTACAAGGATTACCCAAACAGACATCAAATTTGACATTCTTTAGAGGAGTAATCCACCTCTAGCACTAGTTTAGTAGTCTTTGGCTGTGGAGCATAGCAAGGAAGAATGCTACTAAGCACTTAAGGCAATTTACATAAAGAGAGAAATCAAATTATGACACAACAATCATGGATGCCATGCTTTGAGATCCTATGAATTTGAACAGATTCTAGCTTCGTTTATCATGACTATCTCTCCAACTACAATATTTCACGTAAAATCACTTCTGAAACTGTTAAACAAAAAAAAGGGAACGAATTCAGTGCTGTATAAGTCAGCAAGTTCTCAGTGCTTTCTCACTTCACAGTTCTTTGGATCGTTTTGTTGGGTTCAAGGAGAGATACAGGAAATTGTAGCATCCGTGAGTCTAAATTGTCCCTCGATCAGTGGAGTAAGGCCTACAAAGTTGGGTAACACAGATTTCATGTAGAAGAGGTAGTCTCTGCTGCCGTCCTGCAGCCGAATGGCACAGGGGCTCGCACTGAGAGGACATTGAGTCCAAACATGACACGGGTGCAGTTCATAAGAAACAGGGTTCTCCTCAGTCGGTATCCTTCTTTATGATCACTTTCATGAGAAAATGCATGATTCGTGATATTGAAACTACTTTCTACAGTCTTCGCGTCCTAGCTGGAATGATTTCACAACTATCATAGAATTATCTTCTTCAGGAAATCAGTCCAAGCCTATCAAAGAACGACGCGCCACTGAGATGTTATAGGCATAACCTGTCCATCTGCTAGCGTTAAGATTAAAAATCGTTAAGATGCTCACATATCGGTTAAGATCAGCAAAACCCACTGCCACCTTGACGCAGCTCAGAGCATATGCAGCTAGTCACTGTGATAATCACACTATGTATAAGTAAGTACTACCAAGTAAAACCGAGTCATCTTGGTTTTTCCTGTCTATCACCGTGCAAAGAATAGTCCATTGTCCGAGGTTTCTCAAAACTCACGGCATCCTCTTGATGCAGATCAATACTTTAGAACAAAACACCCTTATATATTCTTTCGTAGATTTCTTAAATATATGTCCTCACTTAACAGTCTAATATTCTTCTCTATCCTGAAAGTCCATGCAAGGCAGAACGTCGACTTGATTTTTGACAGTACAGCGTACAGACTTTGCCGTCAAGTGAATTAATCTACGCTTTCGCTATCATCATTTATCATGTGTTCCTGAAGTAGATTACGAAACGTACATACTCTCAGCGATTTGCTGAGGATCCAGATCATGTTATGAAGTATGCACAACCTTGGTTTACTGGCTTCAGAATTCTTCTGAAACATGGTCTTGAATGTGAAACACGGTGCAAGAGATAAACCCTTAGAATAATTGATCCTAAAACGATCGAACTAAGGGATAAGACAAACGCATGACTTACCAATAGACTCTCATTATATAGTCAGCAAGAAATGCAACACTGATAACATTTTGAGTTTGAGATACCCAGTTGTTTTGTGCTTCTCGACGATATCTGTCATGAGGAAATAACGATAGTTAGTTCATAATACCCCTCACATGAACAAGACAAAGTTGCATCACTCGAAAAGCTTCTAATCTTAGAAGCCAACAGCTCAATGCTGCTACTGTGAACAAACTAGACAGGTTTCCACTGTTCACATGAAATAGCTGGAGCTGAGCCCTCTAGATCCTCTTCATTTTACTTATAGTCGTAAAGGCTTGTTTTGACACTTGCAGCACGTTAGTTCTCATTTCTCAACTCAGAAATATGAAACAATGTTCGAAATGTAGTCATGTCTACTGAGACCGTAAGGAACGAATGCAGCACAAAACAAGCTCTCTGTTGTTACTTACGTGGAGTAAACGTAGAGAACACCAGACATGAGAGCAAGCGTGAATTCCAACTGCTCCAACCACCAACATCACGAGTTCATGTTCAGAAGACAACCTACCATATCCGGACAGGATAATGCAACATGTGGGGTAACTTGGTGAGAAAAAAAAACTACAAAACTTTTTGTGCTGTTCTCTATAACCGCCCTTAATGAGAAAATATGTGACAGGATACAGAGAATCACTTCAGAAATACAGAAGTTCAAAAACTCAACTCCAGCATCAGTAGATGTCACTACATTCAAATTTCGGCAACAAACTGATGTTTTGTGACTTCGTGAGTAACTATTTTCAGGTATACTATCCAAGAAGTATCAGCCCTGTTCCAAGAAATATGCTGGTCCAAAAATTCCTCACAGTAAGAGCTAAGCTCTACTGAAGCATGAGAATCATTGAAGACAAAGAGGAAGAGAAGTACTTTTCTAGGGGCCTAACATCAACGGAGACAGAGACCAACAGGATCAGCAACGTTACCAGCAGTCTCCGCAGAGAATAGTAGAACATCTTCAAATAAGCCAACAGCAGCATAACAGTTACCCACTTTGCGATCTATCTTGCTACTACTAAACTTCAACTTTCCAATTTATTAAACTTAGCGGCCTCCAAGATGTGTTGACCAGGATCGTGTGTTCTATACATTCGAGGATGTCACAGACTCATTCGTAGTGTGTCCACAAAGATAGTCACGTGCTTCGGACATACTAGGATGATTACACAATAGGTATCACAAAGAGAGTTGAAGGTTTTCTATTTTCCCTCTACATTTCTCTAAAGCATGGAAATTCATCCTTCCAGTACTTCATGATCAGGTCCTAAGACATTCAAAAGGCTAAGAAAGTCACTCCTTGGACAATTAATTTTGAAATACAGTCTTCATGACCATACCAGAGAGAGGTACAACAACCGACAGAGGTGGTTACTGAAACAGTTGGAAGCTGTGAACAGAGTTCGTTGTCTTTGCTAGCGATGAAGTATTTGGTATCGATAGTTTGAATCCACAATATACAATTTTCTAAAAACCACAACCTCACTGAGCGGCAAACAGAGTGAAAACACATGTGCAAAGGCCACAACGTTATCTCACATCACTACCAAATATCACCCGTGGCAATCGACCTACTAGAGTAGTTCAAGACAATACAACAGGATGCAGTACGTTGTACATTTCTTGGTTTCTACAGGAAATAAAAAACTCTGGTTCATGAGCCAGGATTTGATAGTTCTGTAAGACATACCTAATTTGACAGATTCGACATGTGCTTTCTAAATCCAGACGATACTGAGAATGGGTCGAGATTAGGCAGATTGCTTTCCTCAAGAAGCATCACAGATTGACAAAATACAACGTTGGAGACATCGATCGGTTAGTACCAACGGTAAACCTAAAACGGGTTAAACTGAACAAAACTTTCTTGTTCACCGATCTTTCAAACTTTGCTTCACCAATGAAAAAAACTAGCAAGAAAAGCAACAAAGTTGTAACAAAAAAAGCATCAGTCATTTGTTTCAAATAGCAATTATTTTGAAACTTATCTCTCGGTGCTCCTAGAGCTAAAATCTTGAGAATCAACTCGGTGTAAAGCTGAGAACGGTTTACACCATGGGAGTAGTAAGTTAGCCGAGTCAGTTAAACTCTGCACAAGCCATGAGAATAATCAGCAGAATAGTGACAAAATCTTGAAGCCAAGGCTGCGTTGATTTCATCGATAGTCCAAAGCGTCTTACTGAAGAATTTCCGAGACTTGGCTCTCCTGGTTCCCAATGTGCAAACAGAAACAAGCATCTGGCTTGAGCTGAAAACAACATTCTTAACAGATGGAGAAGCAAACAGAATTGAGACAACGAACGTGCAAAATAATAACAACATTTTTTAAGGCTGTTAAACACTCAAGCATTCCGCTCAAAACATTCAATTAGTGTGTCGAAACTTACCTACTCAAGTCAGCAGTTACAGTGAGCATCACACAATAGTCTATACCAGACAATATGGCGTTAAACCTCCTACTTTTCTTGATCTTTCTAGTTTGATCTCCCTCTAATATGCTAAATCATTAGAGTCGTCTCTTCGGGTCTGACAAATTTGCCAGTAGCATCTGCTCGAAATCATGCCTCATTTTTGAGACCCATCACAATAGTTTTCTACTTCACAATATTTGCACGATTACTTATGGCTACTTTGGCAACCGTTAGTAGAGTGATCTTCGTTCCTTTTGTCTACGGAAGGAAAAGGTAATTAATCGACACACGTTTCTTCTCATTTTGACGGGTATTGAAAGCCTACGTTGCTACTTACATAGACAGACCCACGCCTGTGATTAGAGTAGAGTGTTCTTGAACGCCGGGCAGATCTTTAACAAAGTCGTCCCTCAATCCGGAAAGATATTAAAACTGGATAGGAGCTATCTTTCCGGTTCTATGAAAAGATCGATATAATGAACCAAGCTGGCTGGGCTTGCTTGAATTGGAAGTTTTCTCTAGACCCATCGGAACGGCGTTTCTTGTATTTGTCCTAAATGAGCGAGGCGAGGAGTAAAAGCATGATTAGACTGGGAGAACGTAATTCTAGATCCTTCACTGCTTTGCATTTCTGACCGAAAGAACATGAAATCACATAATTAGAGGACCCTACGACAAAGAAACAGAGAAGATAAAGCACTTGTCTCAATTTAGATGAATTTTTGTCAATCTGTTTCTTGCCGCAACTAATTTGTATTAGACTACCGTCCCCTCTAATGTGGCTCCAACCTAGAAATTGGACATCAGAGGTTCACAAAGAGATGGGACAATATAGACTTCTAAACCACTTTCGACCTACCGAGCCCCTAATACTTGGTACGAATGGATTCCAAAACAAAAAAGCGCTGGACCTACAAACCGACCTTGTGGGGCAAATGTGACCCACACAGTGCATCAGTAATTCACTGGGAATAAATGAAAATTATTACAAGACAATTCAGAACCATCGTTGTCCTTGATTGTTAATAATTGTGGACCCATTGAGAAAGCGGCAAAAATCTATGCACAGTGTGCGACGTCTATCCTGTTCAAGATTAAATAGGAGTCAAATTGAACCTACCACGTGCCACCCCACTCCGACAACGCCAGCCCTGAGCTTGCTTCTCGCTTGTATGGAGAAGGGAACAACACCGAACAAGAACGAATCATGGTACGTGCGCAAAACCTGCGAACTTGCACATATTCTTTTCAGCGTACGTCGGTTGTTCCAATCAGCGAACGCTGTGCTGAGTTTCCTCAGCTGTTGTCTGACGACGTCCCAAGTATGCAGATTAGTATAATCCTCTTTGTAGCTTCTTGAACCTTCATTTGCAGTGGCGATGGAGCGATGAGGTGGACTGCTAGTCGTAGGTGCCGGTATTGTCGAGGCTTCTCCGTGCAATTCATCGGAGGCCCGAATCGAATCACAATCAGCACTTCTGCATGTAAGATCCTTCAGCCTTTCTTCCTGACTGCGTTGGGCATCTTTTGCATCTAGCTCCGAATTGCTCCTGGTAGTCGACCCGGCCCTTAACTCTTCCTCGATGAAATTGTGGAAGCTGGGATCTGACTTCCCTCTTGAAGATTGCGGCGATGAAGACATGATGCCCCGAGACTTGAATGATTCCACTGCATATGCAAATTCACCACATGATTTGAGGAAAAAGAAAGTCGCGCTTTTCTCTCTTTCCTCACTTTACTTCGCATCGCTTGCAAAAGATCCCAATAATACTTGAAACTCTGAACTATCAAAAACAATATCTGCATGGTGAACAAGGATGAGAGGGTTTGATGATCTCTTGGATCCAGCCCGAAAGAAGAGATTTGGATCATCTTCTCTTGATTCGGTCGAGTCCAGGATCACGAACCTAAAGAGACCAACACAGTGCTTAATTGAGCCCATTTACTCACGTCAGTAGTCCATTGGGTGCACAATCGTACAGTAAAATTTCAGACTTGGTGTCAGGCACATTGCGCAATTGACTTCCTGCTGCAATTAACCATGGCAGTTGTAGGAGTGGATTATGTTCGTCGGCTCCCCAGATCTCTAGGTCGACCAGCACGGCCGCCTCCGCAGTACCCGTCGCTGGACTGCAGTTATTGCAGTCGTTCAATAGTTTCCTATTAATTTTTTAGCTGACTCGCCTAGTTGCTTTCAATGGGCCCAACTGTCGCCTCGCGCTGATCATGATTTGAGACCTAGGTGACCCGTTGCCTTGCCAGTCATTCCACAGCTCCTTTACTGTATGCAAATGTGTCTGCACACACTGTGCTTCTCAGATCCGTGCATCGCTATGTACCCACTGGAAGCACATGCTCACACACATATTTGAGTGAGCACTTGAAACCCAATCGATACCCTAATTCAGGTGTCTTCACTTATACGCGGATCTGAAATTCCCGCTTGTGGCGGTTTAGGATGTTTTCTTGCAATTACTCCCGTTGCGTCGACGAAACGCGGACGCTTTGAGAGATAATATTTTTTTTGCTTTTCATTCTCCAAAAAGACTATCAAGTTTTATGAAATTCTTGAACCGTTGAAGTTACAGTGAAGAATTAAGTCACTTTTTGTCAAAAGAAACCCACGGCTTAGATCGCGGGGATTCAAAAAATGTTTGACGTTATGTATACAAGTCTGCACTACTCACGGCACTCAGCGATGATATGGGAAAATGTTCAAAGCTCCACGATGTTCCGAGGCAAGAGACCGAATCTTATAGGACCCAAACGATTGAATGTTGAAATCGGTAGCTCCGCAGTTGACAGATCTATGGATCTTTGTCAATATCTTGAGAATATTTGGTTCCGGGCGTCGATGGCTTCCTCGCGTTCAGCCCTCACCCTATTCAGCTGATAATCATGCGCTTGAAGCCAGGTACACAACCCTCCACTAACTTGGTTTCTGTTCCTGTATTCATCAAGCAGTTCAATGACCAGTTCATTCACCTACTGTGTGGCTCATCTCTAGTGTCTGATCAAGGAAGAAGGCTAACTGTTGTCAGCCATCACTACAATCACAATACACATCTTTGGTAGACCGGTCGATCTGCAAACATCACAATCATAACACAAAAACTTCCATGCGTTTCTTTACCGCCGCCCGAGTCAATTCGGGTACTACCAGGCCTCCAAGCCGGTCGTGCAAATCAAACGGAAGTCCTCAAGCTCCGCGCCAGATAAACGTTCACTCCGAGGAGCTCGAAGATCCAACCATGAACACCAAATCGATCTCATGTTTAATGGAAACAGCATTACACACAGTCTGTACCTCTGTACATGAAATACTTCTCAGTCTTCGGTCTCATCAAACCTCCGTACGGTGTCCGCATCTAGCACCCCATGCGGCCATTCTAGATACGCACGCACCTGAAGATGGAAACAACGACGAGCGCGCTATGGTTCGATACGACTTATGTAACTCCACTACTGCCCTCATCTATCCATTCATTCATGATCCGAACGTCCTCAGGCTGCTTATGTAACGCGACATGCGACATTCGTCTTGCACAGTGCATCGTGGAAACCTGCAGCTTTGCATTCATCAAATTCCAAGCAGGGCGGGTTACCAGTTCTCCGCGACCATCACATCAGCACAAGTCTAACGCTTCGCCATCGCAGTACTTTTACGCGCCACGCATGTAACGCAGCGCAAGACAGCTCTCTGAGCCTCTTCAAATAGACTCCCCGCGTCCCCCGCTCCTTCTCAAAGCATCAATCATCGGCCCGCCCGCCCCCGCGCCCTGGCCCCGGTCCGACCCGCCGATGACTCTGGTCCGCTTCGCACTGCTGTGGATGTACGCGGTACCCCAGTCTTAAACTTAGCCAACTGATTCACCTCGCTCCGTCAACTGTCCACGGCTTCCGCATTACGGCGCAGACCATGTGAGCGAATCACAATGCGCGCGATCCTCGTCTCTGTCACCAACGTCGGACGGTCGTAACGTCTCCGTTGCTAACGTTCGACGGGTGTAACGGTGAAGCCGGGGGTCCAGGGAGTCGCACGACCCGTGGTCTTTCCTGGAATCACGCGGATGGCGAGAACCCGTTGTGCTATTCTCAGCCTGGCCAAGAACCTGGGTTTATGCCTCACGACGCTGAACAAGTCTGCGAGTCGACCAGTTGTGTTCACTGGAACGTACTCCCGACTCCACCCGGTCAGTCAAATATCTTTTGGTCTTTGTTTGGAATATAAAAGTCCTCAAGAGGCAAGTCAATGTGTCCTTTAATTCTCCTCAAATGCGGTACACACCAATTCTTCCCGATGATGGAACCGCGTGGTAGAGAGCCTGACTTTTTAACCTTGCAAAAAATAGAAATAAAATTTGCAGTGCGTCTTACTTCATTGCATGCCTTCTCATGGAAACTCGTAAAATAACTTTTATATTTCGAACACGTCTGCAATTGTTAAAATTGTACTTTTTCCGATGTCAACTAGGTGTCTAGCAAATCAATGCTTAATTTTGGTATACCTGCAACCTTGTCTGCAATACCACCTTGAACATAAATAAGCAAAATGATTTTCAATGAACTTTCTGGCTTTTTTTAATAGTTTGTGACATCTTCATCATATCTAAAGCATTACTATATCAATTGTTATGAAGTGGTAAAGTTACCTAGCTATCTCGAAATGCTTTCATTCGAGACTCAAAGTCAAAACGTACTGATGTATCCTATAAAAGTGGTACTGTCTTGTTTCTGAAAGGTGATGATTGCTGACATATGTCTACATCATTTTCTATAAAATCTCAACCAGTATATACACTTGAGCATTAATAAACAATGATATCGGATAAGTTTCTGACGATAAGAAATCAAATTTACTTTTATACATATTCTCACAACCATCTTGAAATCTAACTTTATATGGTATTTTATTAAATATATTTCTTTAAATTTATATTAAATTTTTTTTATAATATTAAAATTTCAAATTAATAATAAAGAATTATGAATGAAGTTTATAATTTCAAAAAATATGTAATCTTTATATTTTAAATTTAATTCATTCATAATTTAAAATATATATTTTAATTTATAAAATAAAATTTTATTTTTAAAAAATATAAATTATAAACTTCACTCATAATTCTTTCTTATATATCTGATAATTTTAAAAATATTTAAATAAAATTTAATAATATAAAGTAAATTTATTGATAATAAAATTTTCAATATATTTATATTTCCTGTAATCATATTTTCAAAGATTAAATAAATTTTATTTATTTTGATTAACTACTAAATATGAATATTTTATTTTTCAATACAAAATTTACTTCCATATGTTCATGTTAGTATAGTACAATGATTTTTTTATCATTTTTAAACAAAAAATGGTAAAAATATATATTAATGAATCTAATATTTTTATATTCCATGTCATTTGGTTTATTCAAAGATTGAATTTGCTTTTTATGCTCATATGACTATTGAAGAACTTTCTACTTTTAATATTTATGTTTTTATGAAAATCAATATATGGTAGAAGAATTTAAATACTTTATACATTTAAGAAAATTATAGATAGACAAAATTGGCTCTTAATGTTCTATCCAATCTGAATTACTTTCCACATGATGATATACATTTTCTGTACGAGGGTTTATAGAATTTTGAAAAGTCAAATTGATTTATAGAGACATTATTTGTATTTATTTTATATTTTTTTAATAATTATATCTTTTTCATAAAAATTAGAAGTACAAAGATAATGGTGCAGTCCGTAGCTACTTCAAATCATTTCATAATGCACCCTAAATTCAGTTTCTTTGTTTGAAATTAATTATCCATTCTTTAAGTCAAGGAAATGGATAATTAATATCTTTTCGTATTATGACAAATTTGACTGAAAAATTAACCAAAAGAGATATGGAAACGAAAATACTTGATGGAACGATAAGGAAATCCTTCCCAAACTCAACTGCCATCCCGTATCGGAAGGGCCTAAAAAAACGCATCCAAAGCTCACCATGCACGAAATTTGATCCGCTCGGTTCGATTTAGAAAGCGCGATCCGATGAATCCCCAACTCCTAGAAGTGATCCGGTCCAAGAATCACAATCTCGACAATCATGAGCGGAAACTGCAATCCCAACTTCCAAGTCCCAACTACCATGTCTCGTGCTGGGAGTTGCAATTAATAAAGGGCAACTAAATCTGCCGAGTCAGGATTAGAAAAACATGCGGAGTGGATTGGAGTCTGGAAGTAGTGGAACAATGAAAAGTCAACCTTTCTTTAGGAGCTTGGAGGATGGGGTGGTGTGATAAGGACAGGTCGAGCCAACCAAGTGTGACAAGGCAAGCAGCCAATTAATCAATCAGATCGTTGCTCTCGTATGCAGAGCGGACGGGGAGGGGGAGTGGAGGGCGGAAGGGCGAGCTTCCTGGTGAGGACGCAAGAAATATTGTTTTGTTTTGGAAAAGGGAGTCGTGTTCCTTCCCATCCATCAAGAGAAGATGATTGAGGCAGAGGCTGATGACGGCACCGCTCAGGAGTTGTCACCGAATGGCAAGTGCGAGAGCGTCATCCGATTCCCTGGCAACTGAATCTGCAAATTGAAAGCAAAAGGGATTTTATGACTCACTCACCAACTTCTCGTTTTATGCCTCTCGATCCGTTCCGATTCTTCCGAACCAGCAGAACGAGGCAAGCCTCTAAACATGCTCTCGGCGCCAATTTGCAGAGTCATCGGACGGCTCGATGCCGCAGCATTTGTAATCCAAGGGTCGAATACAAATGTTTCCTCCCATCATAATCGCATAATCCCGTTTTGGAGGGTGTTAACCAACAATGCAATCTGACAGTGACCAATTCATGACTTCATGCAAGTTTGACTTCACCCTATAAACATATCCGACAAGGATGCCAGAGCCTAAAAACACGGATTCTGCGCAGGAGGAGCAAACACCGTCCTGGTGTGCCTGCCATCCGCCAAGAAGAACAAGAGGACATATCTTGAAGAAACACACGAACCTTCAGGCGTTTTCTTTGGTGCAACTCCTCGGTTTGTAGTAGTTGAAGCCTTCCCGGCACCTTCCATACGCGCTCCAGAGGCAGATCCTTCGGGGCGAAGAGCCAGTAGTTGGTTACCGGTATGCATATACTTTGGGGGTCTTACAGATCACGGGGACAGAATGAGAAGTAACGAGCTTCACAGATTTCGGGCTTTTGCCAGCTTTTTGAAGCTCCTGATCATTGTTTTAAACGTGGCCGGTTGCGATCGGTCAATCGTCCAGAACCAACTGATGACAGAGCATTCAACAAGTATCGAAGGTTCAAACTCGGCCACGTTGTGCGTCATTACCGTGTGTCCTGGTTTTGATGTCATGCCTCTCGTCATTTGCCTTTTATGGAAGCAGACCTTGTCTGAAATAATTTTGTCTACAGTACATCTTTTCTATTCTGGTTTTGACACTTTGTGCAGTAGATAAAACTCTACAGTTGTCAAAGTGGAAGTACGCTGTATAAAGTTGCCCCTGCCGTCCCCACTAGCTTGTTACACTACACTCCCCTGATCAGCATGAGCAACAAAAATTGTGCAACCCTACGCACTATTGCCTATTCTACCAATTTCATTCACTGACCCTCGACAAGCACTGAGGGATCAGATACACCAGCTGTGGATTGTTGGCACTTCTGTAAAAAGCCGTGGCGATTTCCGCAGATTTTACCTCTCGGGCATGGGCCTCCTCGTTAGAAACTGCCATGATGCAACGGTTGTGAGCCCTTGCCAGTGTCAGAGTTACGGTGTACCAGACAGTATTGGGCGTTCCAACGAGGGCAATTATTCTCAGTTTTATAGAGCTACATGTACCGTACTAAATTCAAATCCGAAGGGTAACTTAGCCTTTCCTGTGCTGCTGAGCGGGTATTGACCTATCATGCCTATTTTCGTCAGATGTGAATGTCCAGATCCGGAAAGAAATCTAGTCATCATCCATCCCGGCCTTATATCCGGGCGAGATGTTGCACTATCCGCAAGCGCTCGCTGCGCATAATACATCTGAATAGTGCCCTAAAATACGCAGCTGCAATGTGCGACTGTTCAGCGTCCAAGGAATTGTCGAAGGTCAGCGATCTTAGATCACTTCTCCAGATTGTGGCCCGAGGTTTTGTAGACTTCGGTCGATCAGATTGTCATCCGCGATTCTAAAGGAGGTTGGCACATGGCAACGGTTTTTGTCTGGGGCGAGGATGTTTCGTCCGTCATGTGTTCTGCGATCTTATATTCTTCGATCATCTGTACATTCCACCTTTTTGATTTCGTTAGCAGAGTGTTCTTTTCTTCCTAGGTCACGCCTTTCTAAGCAAGCGTGACGATGGACAAGCTGTGCGCACGTGAGTGAGATTTGAATTTCTGATCCCAGAAAAAACCGGATTGTCGTTTGTATAAGAAGAAGAGTTACTTTCGGCCAAAAAGTTCCTTGATTTCATTGAAAGAAGATGAGTACATTCTTCAGCTGCACGGGCTGAGCATAATACAGAAACGATCTGGCAAACTGTGGGAGATCGAAGACGCAGCTACGTTACTTATTACTGCACATGTCGTGAGAAACAACCGACCACTAGCCTAATCCACACCGCCAAATCTGGTGATCGTCATCGAATGTGGAGAACGCACAGTCCTTGAACGATCTAATTGTTGAACCATCCTCCTTGTACGATTCTACCAGAAGACAGGCACGACGCAGGTGCCATCTCAGGTTTACTTCACTTCCGTAGGCAACTCTCAGAACCTCATGACCTTGCACACTTCGTGCAATATCCATCTTCGTGAAGTTCGATCCCCTCGGAATATGCAACACCACGAAACACATCGGCTTAGACACGCGCATTTTGCTATATCAGAGTACAACAGCGTTAGAAGCTAAGACGGCAAGAATTTCAGGATCACTGGATTCTATACCCGACCTCTTCACATTTCCTTCACGTTCTAGTTTAGGCAGTGTTCAGAAAAGATGCTGCAACAAAACTGTGATCGCGAGGGTGATACTAAAACCTCGTCTACCGTCGAAGTCATCGGAGGATCTTAAGCTGTGAGCTCTCAATCACCTGAGCAGATCTAGATTGTGACACATGCGGGGACCGAATCCCTAATTGCTCAATCCAGGAAACGTTAATCTCTCTTGCTCGAATACAACTGAGGATTGTGGGCGATCTGACTGGACATGAATGGAAAGAGTTCAGAGCAACAAACGTGTAGTCAATGCTCATGAAGATTTGATCCTCGAGCTGAGGACATCAGGTCGATCACCACAGAAACGTTAACACCTGCGTTAGGGGCCCGGATCCTCATTTGCTACCTCCTTTGCTAATACAAGCTATAGGAATTCATGCTTTCACAGAGTATAGGGAGTCATGAAAGGTATAGCTTGTAGAAGCAAAGGAGATAGCAGATGAGAACCCATTTTCAAGAGAAAAATTGATTGAGCATCCGAATCTGTATCGGGGATGGTACGATCTTGTTTCCTGTAAAGGTCTCTCGTCAGGGGAGTTTATGAGCCAATGAGCCAGCCCTACGAACCCCAGCGCATGCTGCTGCTGCGGGTGTGCTTCAGAGTGCGCGCGTGCGTGCGCATCTATCTCACGTCGCGAACGACAATCTGCTCACAGCGACATGCTCCTGTTGGGAAGGAGACCATACAAGATGTTCTCCCGATGTTAAAGACAAGGCAAGACGAGCTGCGGGGTCTGTTAGCTCAAACAGACAAGTAAGTAAACTATCTAGGGAGTTGACAAAGCGGAAACGAACTTAGCCAAACATTGAGCCGAGTTGAGGGTCTCAGAGCTCAGCAAAGTTGGAAGATCTAAGTGGATGAAAGCAGAGAGGAGGTGGGTAAGTATAAATACTGAAACGTGCAACATGTAAGTCGCAGAAGCAGCACATGGCAAGACAGTCCTGTTATGAGAGACTGTAGGCCAGGCTGGCTGTCCAAATTCCTAACAGTGCAGCGATCCTTTGCTTCCCTTCTCAACCCTCGCCAAATGTTGAGATAGAGAGAGAGCAGCGAAGAATGGTGCACGTGTGGGTGGGTGCGGTGCTCTGCGAAAACGTGAGCATGTTGTGGATGTCCGATTCGACCGTGTGCCTGCAACTGAAATAGAGAGAGGGAAAGCGCGCGGGAGGGGCGAGCGGAGGAACGTTGCGTCCGAAGCTTGCGTGGGGGAGGATCAATAAATCAAGCTCTGACAAATCCTTGCTTGCGCAAGGCTTTGCTCTTTAGGGATCTACCTCTATAATCATTTTGAGGAGCCGACGAAGGATGGGACAACTGAACAAGCGAGATGGGATTAAAAGCTAGCGCCTCTCCCAGGACTCTCGCCAATGCATGCTGGCTACGGTTGGCTCTAGCGGACTCTTGAATCGCGACTACTACGTTCTAGACCTCGAACCGAGAGCTGAGCTAGGGCGTGACGCTGTTGAGCCCATCATTCCGTATCTTCCGAGGGTGAACCCACACGGATGACCAAGGTGAACCACACGAAGAGCAGCCCCTGCTTGCAAGGAATAGCTGCATTGTCAAGACAGCGGAGGCTGAAGGGGAAGACGAAGGGCACATAGAGGGACAACATGGCTAAAGCGGAATTTATGGGGGAGGAGGAGGACAGCAGGGGGGGTTGGGTTAGAATCTCAAAAGAGCTCGTTGAGATGGAGATTGTAGACAGGTGATAAGATTACGCAGATAATCGGCTGATTTTTGTAGAGCTTTTACAAATTTCTTGGTGCAAGGGCTTCTTACGATGATCTTATCCGTCGTACGACGTGCACTGGCGAGAGCTTTTCATTTCTCACATGGGCGCCGAGCACATTGAGCCAAGGCCTTTTTGGCATGTTCTAACAGTACAATCCAACTTGGTCTTGTCTTGTTCTGCAACTCAACCCTCAAGCGGTCCCTCAATCTGACCACTTTAGGAAGGCTGCTCGATCCTGTTTCCACATATATCTTTTCAGGTCTTTTCAGGACCTGACATGACGAACACGGCTGGCTGAGATTCCGATTGGAGTTTCTCCTATTCATGACAGCGATGTCGAGGCCTCCCTCCCTCCGCCTGCACCAGTGCTTCAGTGTTCTTGTCCTACCAGAGCCTCATAAAGTGGTTGGATTCCTCCTTGCGGTAGTCATACTTTAAAAGGCTGCTATGTCGCTAGTTACAAGTAGTTGAGGTAATCATCATATCCCTGCTGAAATAAAAGAGAAGCAGCTGCACTGGCCCTACAGTTTTCTTGCATCTAACTGCTACCCTCCTCCCCGTGCCCGCCCCCGTCCCCGTCGTCCATCGTCCCATCGTAACCAGCATGCATCAGTGTGCACTCGAGCATAGAGGCCGGGCATCTTCCTCCTTCCGCGTGGACATCGGGATGGCTATTCCGGGTGGTTCCTGTCTTGAATCTGCGCTCAAAAGGATCCCGACGTTAAGTGGCTTTTACCACCAAACGCGTACCTGCTTTCGCCCCTCTCTCCTGAATCGCCTCTCCGCCCCGCCCCGCCCCGCCCCGGCCTGCTCTGCCCCGGCCTCCCTGGATCTTCGAATGCCGGTAGTGGGCGATCGGCAGGTGAGTGCTGGTAGCAGGTCCCTAGAGCTAAGCTACTCGGGTCGTAGCCGTGGAGTTTCGATCAGAACGAACAGTCGTCGTTGAACCAGATCCATGGGGTACGCGGAAAAAAAGCGTACCGCCAACGTACTACCGACCCAGTCGCCGAAAGCCCCAGTCTTGTTAGTTAGAGAGTTGGACATGTCGAGATCTCGCGCGTTGTTTAGTGTATCGTCGGAATCACTAAAGCTAATCAGCGTAGTCAGCGAGTCAGCCGAGTGCGTGTTTTGAAGGTGGTCAAAAGCGAGGTCGCGTACCACTCGTTTTCTAGAAGTTTATATGAGCCCTGGGAGCCGCTGCGATTCATGCATATGCAACTTCGACATCACTATCTGCAGGCACAGGCGAACAACTAACTAACTAGTCCTAGCTGCTGGTGCATAAATAATAATAGACCAGGATTACAAGGACATGATTGCGACTGAGCAGTAGAGGTCGCATCATGTTGTATCTCAACTGAAAGAAAGGAGAAAAAGGACCTCTCAGTGACAGCGATTTCTCTTGGACCAGGGTTCGCGAAAAAGAAAGCGCTAACAGCTGGAATGGGTTTGTGAGGGGCCCTGCCTAGACGTGTGTCTGTAAGGGTTTCAGTTGACACAGCACTGTTCGTTGCGCTATTATATATAATGTATGTATGGAAAATAGGTCCAGAAAATCTGCTATTCAAGATTTGACACCTTTACATAGGTACTGTGTTTTTGCCAGCATAAAACAAAAAATGCTTATGACAGATCCCTGCTGGACAAACTAAAGTCATTTTCTCCTGACCAACTTCAACGATCGAGAAGAGCATCTGCCAGACATGAGCATCGCATGCCCAAACCCGAGCCTTGTAAGGCGAGAAATTTTTCCGGTATGTCTGGTGGACCTATTTCATTTTTCTAATTCTATCTGACTTGCGATCACTTTGCTGGCATGTTGATAGGCGTGCTCATTCTATTGGTCTACATTGACTTGAATGCTTGAGATGCATGTAGTACAGATACTATCCAAACGGAACCATTGGTTGGTGGCATCGTTTCTCAATAGAGGGGTGCCCCAACTCGTAACTGTGGGGTCAGCCTAGCATCTAAACAGAACCAACGGCAGCTCTAGCTAGCATCTTTCCGTTGACGAGATAAATTCACTCGACGAGAGCGTTCTCTGAGATCAGCAGTTTCTTCTCTCGTTTGTATAGTTGTGCCTCGTGTGCCTCTTCCGAACTTTGACGACATGAAAACCACCCGGAATGAATGGATGCAGTTTTGGTGCAGACAAATGTTCTCGAAGTTCTGAAACCTTGAACATTTCATTTGTGTGCTACATTCACTTGATCCCTTCGCTTTGGGGCATTGGTGGGGCATTCTTCTATTTCCACCTCTCAACAGTCACCTCCACCACCGCCTGAATAGGTACAAGTAAAAGTGCCTGCGATTCTAAACGTAAGCATCTTGCGAATTCACAGGTTGTACATATGATCACTTGTTTTCATCAGACTTTTCCTGTTGCTGGCTCAATTCAATCTCTCTCTCCCTCTCTCTCTCTCTCTCTCTGACTGAGATTCTGGCCGTTGGAAGTGATGATTTCACACGACATGTAATGTAAGCAGTGCACAGTCCCATGCTGCTGCTGTTTTCTTTTCCCGATCTGCATTACGGTTATCCGATCGAAATTCAATTCGATCGCAGCGCCACATTTTGAACTCCATCTGAGCTCAAAAACATGGGCAACTGAAAACTTTGTTTTGTAATGAGTATATTCTAGCGCAGATATTCACTGGGCCTCGAATCCTTCTTGAGCTTCAAAGCTTTGTCCTTTACGCTGGTATATTTAGTATATTGCTTGTTTATAGCCGAATGACATGCGATCTTCCTCCCCACAAGGCTTGTCCTCTAGCGGCCGCTTATAAAGAACTGTTCGAAGAACGCGAGACACAGACCAAACGTGCTCACAGGAGGACAAACATCTTGTTTCTGCAATATGAGGAACAAATGCTTCTCCATTCGTGAACCGCTTATGCGTGGGCATGCTCAGATTCTAAATTAAATTGGAATTAATGACTGGGCCTGGCTCCTGTTTTTCACGGCATTCTTTGAGTGTGTTCGAAACGATAAATGGGCGCGCGAGATTCACTATTGAAGGGAGGGGGGAAAAGAACTGCGCCCAGGGAAAGGCGATTAGGGAAGACGGTTGTCGTCCCTTGATCTCTTGAGCATATCTATGTGACATTCAAATCAAAAAACGGTCCCACCTGGCACCAGTTTCAATGTACTTGGAAGAGCTGGCCTGGTGCGCACGATAGATGCATCGGAATATCGCCGAGCGTACTTTGTGAATAACAGGTATGTCGTTCTTACCTGGAAAGCTTGATAATGTGTTGCAGTTTCAGCAAATTCTTGCACAGAACCTGTTCGATCGCGGCATCGACACGCATAGACTGGTTTGTCTTCACAGCAGGTTGTTGAATCTACTGGTTTTGTTTTGTTGTCGATGCCAAATGTGCACATGGTCTGCTTGAAGTCCCATTGTCGAAACAAGAATCTGTGCGTCAACTCAGACAGACACTGCGGAGAAGGCACTACTTGCACCTTGGATCTTCTCTCGCCTTCTTGGGCACTGCTGCAGCGTATTGTGCATCGTCTGCAGTGAATAGAAGGCGCTACAGATTTCGTCCGGTCAGAGGTAGCAAATGTGCTGGGGCCTCGCTCCGCATCAGGGCCCTGATCTTGATTAGGTGTGAATCTGCTCCCCGTGCTCCTTCTCGAGCCTCCCGATAAGCGAGCAATGAATAGGACCCGGCGGAAAGCGAAAGAAAAGGAACTTGAAACCCTAGACTTTTATATCGTCTAAAAAAACAACCAGTGAGTGTCGAGTCAAGGCGGGGGCGACCTTATCTGCGTTCACGGGTCCTCGGGGGCGCCCGAATCCAAGGGTTCATGCGCGCTCGATGGCCTGCGAGCAGTCCAGCAATTCAAACGCTATAGTATATTCCGAAGACATGACTGCCCGCTGAGGCGAGGCAGGCATAACTGCCGATCATGGACCTCCGTCGCGGCCATCCGAAACAGTCAAGAAGATACCATGCGGTTATTTGAGAATTTCTTTTTGGCCTTGTGGACAGTGAGGTGGAAGTCGGCGTTCCTAATCTGGACTGTCTGCGCTTGAATACTCCGCCACACGTGGACATTTCACCCACATTTATCCATATGCCGTTGAGGGCGCAGGACTTACACCGCTGCTTTAAATCATTGAACCGTGTCGAGCAGGTCTTATCCCGAACCTGACCGCAGTAGATACAGATACAGCGGGCGCGAAAATCCTACTTGCTTCATATACACCCAGACCCGGCGTGGATCGGGGCTTCCTCTGATCACGCCTCGTGCAATCGCATGCTGAACGCATGAGCTGTCTCGGAACGCAGTCTCATGCAGTTTTCTCTTGTGATAAAGATCCAATGCTCTGAGGTGGATTCACCCAGTCCGGTCAAGATACGGTTGTGGCACGAAGCTTCTTTTCTATGCAGCTTTTCCGCGACAACTCTATAAGATTGCCGAACTTACTCTGAGAGCAAAAGAAGCGAGCACTGACTAGAACAGCCCATTTTCAATTGCACCGAAAAGACAACCAGAAATCCGGGCGCCAGTATAAACTTAAGTTTTGTAGCCGCTGGCAGTCCTGACGTTCAGTAAAGGTATTTGAATGTTTTGAATCTTCCATTCCAGCATTCTCTTTCTCCTTCCACCTCTGCCAGCTTTCAATGAATCCATCTTTTTGAGACAAGACTGACATCTGTGCAGAAATTTAATTCCAGCTACATAAAAGCTGGCATCCGACAGAGACTTTAGCAAAAGTTTAATTCTTCATCTCACGACCTAGAAGTACAGCTGAGCAGGCTTTGAGGAATACATGATTTCATGGACAGAATCGGTTGGCCATCGTTGGTACATCACATACAATCTCGTTGTTACACACAGGCTCGTCTTTTAAAGCTGGGTGCTGGCACCAGACCCCGTTGGGAATGCAACTGGTACTTCGAGCCTTGAGACAAGGCATATACAAACCTAGATGCAGTTTGTCTCGTTAATTTGCATCGAAGATGAAAAATTCTTTTCTACCTCTTTGCTGAGATTGGCCGGGACCCCGCCCAGGATATCTAAAAGTAGCCCAGTGATGTAGTTTCTTAGATAGGACCGAAATGGTTCTCCTCCTATTAGGATGAAGGGTCTGGCCTGCAGAGCTGTTTGCTCGAGATTTCCTGTGATGTTCCACGTTTCCTCATAGTCATGGTCGATAAGCGTGTTTCAGCTTTAATCATCGCTCCTTGTTTTTCAAGTTATTACGAGGAACTGCCGACAGCAGAATTGTAAGCAGCTACTTTAGATTATAAACCAGACGGAATATGATACCGATTTGCAACAAAGTGTCCGATTTTCATCCGACACTTTGTTGCATATCAGTATCATGTATAACATAACCATCCAGCCGTCTGCTATTCTACTGTCTTCTACTGAAAATAAAGTTCTATCACCCGTCAGTTTTCTCACGTATGGTAATCGAGACCTTGAAGAACATGACATCCTTGGACTGCAATAGATTTGCCAGCGCTGAGTTTTGACACAAGATTAATTGCAGCGACTGTCTTACATTCCATCTCAGATACCGACCACATAGACCTTCAACTACCCTAGTTACGAGTTCGGAATTGCGCAAGGAGTTTCACGTCCCGCAACTTATGAGCCTGGCCAGAGATTGAGCAGGAATATTAGAATGTCATGTGCACTTGGCAGTTCCTGCTAGATGCACTGGTTCCAACACAAACAGTGTAGCGAACTTGAAGAAAATAAGTGAACAAACAAACAGTTCTTGCATCCTGCTGGAGTCAGGATATATGAGTCTGTCCGCAGATGTTGCAAAAAGGGAGAACCAGAAGTCTTGCTGTTCCTCCTGAACCATGGTTCTCATAGAATTGTCGTTGACTTCGAAATAAAAATACGAAACCAGTTGTCTAGAACCAAACTTTTCTTTTACTTAGTCAATAAGCTTGCGACTGCATGACATCAGTACCCTGACGACACTACCTAGTTCCAATTTGTGGGAGAGAAGATCAACCGCTAAGTTGATCTGCATACAGGATTTGTAAAATCAACTTTTGAAGGAAAGTATTCTCTGGTCGAGAAGCGCGGAGGGTAGTCTTCAGCCATTTTTAGATTTCTGGAAACTAACAGGAGAACTGACAAAGCCTTCTCTGATTCTCTTCTTAGCTTTTCGGCTCAAAACATTCATGGTTCTGGACACGGTCCTGGACTGCATCTCACAAACTCCTGAAAAATGTGGCACACGGCTGCACACTCCGAGATCGGGCTGTAAAGACTGCGTTGGCATCCAGAAAGTCCAATGAGGCACTTAACTTCTCATAAATGGGTAGTTCACCAGCCTCCCACATCGAACTGTAGTCATGCAACACGGAAGACCAATCCTTTCCTTAATAATCACAAGCACTGCACGTCCGCTGTGTCCCACAAATAAATCACATACCTTAGACCATGCTCCGTTCGACAGCAGAACACGTCCAAGTCTCGCGATCTCTCAAGTCCAGCTGCAGTACTCGTCCAATGCTAGTAATCGTCCAACACGAACTGAATCAGGATTTGCCATGGCAGGAGGAGGGTGGGCCCTTGAACTGGCGACCCACTCGTGTGATATTTCCATTTGACATGCTCAGCCATAGACATCTTGGACGTGGACGCAGCAGAAAATACTTGGACTGTCACCTACACTTGGCCACTTGATGATGAGTATGAAGTACTCTCTAATGAGCTCTTCCAGGTGAGATTCCATTCCTTCATGCGTGACGTGACAACCCTGACTTGTTGACCTTGTTGTCAGTTGAAGTACTTACAGTATGATTGTGAGAAACATCACTAGGAGTACCATCTGGAGAATTCCGTTGTTTGAGAGTAGATTTTCCTTTCTATTTCTGTTCTGAGATTATTTATAGACACGTCGGTGTATCCCACACACATTTCTATGCAAAAGCCTCCCCATATGTTGAATTCCAGTTGTTCCAAATCTGAGCTTCACTGGAAAAGTAAGTTCAAGTACTCTTTGTCTCATGATCTTCTGCGACTTAATTCTCCTCATTCTGGTTGGTTTCCTCAGGGTTACCAACAAGTGAACGAGACATGATTGTGCTGCTCAAATTCGAGTGAAATCAACCCCCCCTTCCCCCCCCCCCCGAAAGTACATAGATTGCTCTTGCAGCGCATGACTTACAAACGCTACTATAAGACATGCAGTGAAATGCCCAGTACTGGTCACTATGGAAGGACTCTAGCTTTGCCGTCACTAAAATCAGTGTTACGCCTCGATCTCTCCGGGTACAGGGACAGTAGCAAGTATGTGCTTTTTTGATAATTTCTTGTACGTGATGAGGTATAAAAGAAGTGATCTCCAGTTTCTTTTGTGTTGAAGTCATCATTACTACTGCAGTTTTTCGTTACATCAGATTGTATTGCCTTTTGCCTGTTGCTTTGTACGTTAGCTTGGACGTCATGTAACTGAACATGAACACCCCTTCTTGAAGGTACATATACAGGCCTTACATAACACGCTCGAGAGTTTCCCGATTAAGAAGAGAATGATTGTTCTCTAGTTATTATGATGTCGAAGTTATTATGTATCCTGTAAAAGTATGATCACAAGAGATGTGACTTCGAGTTCACAGACGCTAACGCATGCATCTCGCTCTACCCGCAAAATGGACCACTCATATGGAAGTCCACTCAGTGAGCTTTGACCATTTGAATCATAAATAAACACAGGTGATCTCCAATTTATTGAACATTCTTCCTCTTCCGCATTTTCTTTATTGATAATGCACTTCATCATGTATGTTATTATTTACACACAATTATTGCTGAGAACAGCCTACGTACGTGTACTAGACGTCGTATTCATCTCTTGCCTTAACGCCCCCAAACCTTAACACATACCCTGAGCTCCATTATCTTGGAGAAAAATTAGTATACTACATCTAGGATTACTGCACGTTCCGCGTAAACACAAGATGCAGGTTGTAAATTGGACTCCACGTACCTTGGTCTCTTGGTACAGCCAACAGTTATATCGCTTTACTCAATCTGAATGCACAGTCAAAGTTTCTAATCATGCTAATCGCCATCTTCATGATTACCTCTTCTCGATGGGAACTGTAGTAAACTCTTACAAAATGCTGTGGATCGCAGGACATATGCCAGTACACTAAATTTGAAAGAATCCATAAGGATTTCCGGATGAGGAAATAACTGTATACGTATCCAAATAAACATTCTGTTCCAAGAAGAATTGATGTGGTATGGGGAGTATTGGTAGCACAGTCCAAGAAATATTCTTTCTTGTTACTGATCTAACTGGCACGGGTAGATTTAATAGATTTCTAACTGGCATCAATAGATTTCATTTGGTATATTAAATCGGTAACAATACTTACAAGTAAGAACGATGATGTAATTTCCACACCCACTGTTTCTCTCTGTTGTACAATGTTGATCCAAGCAAATTTTCTCTACTTGCGAATGTATGATATGAAGTTGTGATTGAGTTAAAAAGTTGACAAAGTCGATAGGTACTTATTGTAGAATTAGAATATGTACACGTTAATTAAATAATGACATGCAGAATATATAAGATAACTTCCCATAGCACAAGGGCGTTTCCATTTCTTAAATACATACTAGAATCTATATAAGTATTGTGAGGTACAACGGGCTTTGTAGGCACAACGGGCTTTGTTTGTAGGACAGACAAGTATATTAAGTTCTTTTCGATCCATGTTATACTTGAAGAATTAGGACCAATGTCTAGCATTTGTGGTCCGATTGCACGAGTTGATTCAGATTTTCCATTCGCACGGCACGTCGCTTACCGGCTGCTGTAGACAACCAGGTTACTTATAACAGATTGTTGCTAAATTCTCATAGTCTGAATGAAGTACATACTATCTTTACACAACATGGATTGTATAAAGTTAGTATGACGTAGAGTCTCAAGGAATAGAATTCGTGAAAAACATATAAAATAAAATTGCAAGATGTTTATTTTTGTGGCTGTCTGTGAGAATTTACAACTAACTTATATATATTTTGTTTCAATCACATTACAACTCAGAGACATGCCGGTATGATTGTTTGCTATTCAAAAGATCGCATCTCCAATTGGTTATATGGAATTCATGAAGTAATATATAATACATGGCATCAAAAACCGTTTATTGTATAGTATCATCTTGAGATGTATAATTTATTTCTATTTTCATCATATTTTCAACTCTTTTATTTATTATTGTTTATAGGTTTCTTTTCTCTTCGGGCATGTATTCCTCTTCTTTCAGGTGATTTGATCTTAGTTTGCTTAGTTCTCTTTGTAAACGCTATTTTTTCTGCATTTGCAATTCCGTTTTTTTTAATTTTAAAGTATATTCATGTTTAAGATCCTAAAACATCAGTGGTACTGTGTTATGTATTTTGATTTCATATTGAGGAAAAGTAGCTGTTGGTTTAATCTATGAGTAAAAGAGTAATGTAGTAAAATCTTTGAAATGTGTTATGGAAAATGGAAAAAAAATGTATGGAAAATTTTTTCCATAAAATTCTATTCGGTAAAAATCCTTAATAGGATTCTAAATTTTTTCAAACAACTCTTTGGGGCAAGGTGTAATATAAGTCACTTCATCTTACCAAGTTGCAGAATATTGCATGTTACTTACTTCTTTTAATGTCTGATATATGGAAAAAAGGTAAGTGAAATGCTAATGCATGAAATGAAATGCATCAATATGAGATGTCATCTTACTTAAATATCTTTACATCACTGGCGAGCTCGTAGTTATTAATCAAAGTATGCACTCAGATTCTCATGTGATCGTTTACAAATTTTATTGACGATCGTACACTATAGCAACGTTTTTGCATGATAAGACGGGGTGAAAAAATCTATTTGCTATCAAATTTATCACAAAATAACCATTTGAGACAAAGAGAATGAGTTAGAAGTCCAGAATTAATTTTGATAATTTTTGGGTGTGCATCTTGAAGTTTAGTGTAGGATTGCACGATAGAAATAACGTAGCATAAATGTTTTGCAAATTGCCATATACCCTAACAACGTAAGTATATGTATGAGATTCTTTTCTGAGTTTCTCGAGGAGAAAATGATAGGTGCACATACCACTGTTATAATTAAGAAAATGATTTGGTTCATAAGTAACTAACAAATTCATGATATATGAAGAAAAAGTATTTCCCTTTTTCAATTACAGTTTAAAGAGAGTAAAATTGATTTCAACTAGATTTGTCTAAATTTACTCAGATAAATGTTAGCACTACAATTCTATATAGTGATTTTATTTTTTTAAATAGATGTTGAGTGAAATTGATATAGAAACAGTATTCAAGAATTGGTGAATGAGGAGTTTTGGAATTTTTCTTTATATAATATTAGAATTTATAGAGTTATGGATGCAGACTTGAATATGTAGTGAGGAAATGCACTAAAGTATCACCTTTTTAGCTTATTGTTCAAGATATCCAATATATAAAGAACATTTTCCATCGCTACAATCATTTGATTAAGTACCACGTTATAGGATGAATTTTCGGATGTTTTACTTCTTTGGAGACTTTTTGATGTGGATTATTTTAAAATAGTAGTTAGTGGATGATAAATATCTGATTGTGAAAATTTTGTAGCCTAATTCCATGATTCACAAAAGTGAGAAATTTCTGTTTCATTTCTTCTTTGTATGACTTGGTAAGATCTTTCCATCATTTACTTCACCCCTTCTTTCGTTTAGTATCTCTTCTGCTTTGCCATTAGGCATATCTCAAATCTAAGACTCGATTTCGAGCATTTTCATTACTTATTTTTATCATATATCCTGTGAAACATACCCGTCTTACAATTCGTTAAGAAAATTTAGTTTCTTCTGAGAGCTGAAGATGTATGCTTAACATGGTGGGAAGTCATAAGGGGTTTGATGATTACTATTAACTTATTCGTAGTAGAGGTGGGAACCTTTACTGTTTCATGTAGATAGACGGTGGGGTTTGACATTCTCGTTCAATTCTTAGGTGCGGCTTGAAAATTGTACAATGAATTTGAATTTGAATTGGATCGCTTATCATCCGGCTCCACGACAGGGATTCTCCGATCTGTCCTTTGCCAAAGTTTCGGTTGTGGCGTTGATACAGGCGCAAGTTCTTGAATCCCGCGGAAAATATGGAAAATGATCGAATGGAGCGCCGACGCTCTTCCTCAAGTTCGCTTCGATTTTGATCAGCAAATCTGGACAACTTCGGAGCTTTATCACGATGTCGCGAAATAGTTTATATCCATATTCAGAGCCAGGAATCGGCCACAAACATACGGACATGTCTCTTACATGACTCCACAGCGCAGGTCCTTTTCCATTACATCTGATCTTGCGAGCATGAACAACGTGAAACGATTGTGAGAGCGATTTAACGCGAGAAAATTCCATTCTTGAGGACCTTTGAGTTTGAGGAAAATATCGCACTGTGCGTAGCTGTATACAAATTTGTGTACCTTTTGCCTACGACAGGCTGTCAATGAACTTGGTTCACGTTCGGAATAATGCATCTCCATTTATATGTCCTCACATTCAAAAATCTTTACTCTCAAGAATTTTTTCTCTCTCTCATCAAATGTGTTTACATCTGTTGACATTCTTGTTTCCAACCTCTCCAGTTGAAATCCGCAGTTTCGTCAGTCCAAACATATTATTTCGTAGAGTCAGCAACTTTATCATAATTTCCTGAAGGTAATCAAATTTATCCAGAATCCAGTACACTCATACATCAAGTATTACCACATCGCTTTTGCTGGTCACCGTATAGACTCTTGTCACTGATTAGCTACTTGAAATCAGGGCTCTCATCAGTGTAGAGCAGTACCACCTGCAGGCAAGGGAGAAAAATCCTACGCACTGATGACTATCTCATGGGTAGGATTAGAGTCCTCAGACTATTGAGAAATCAGGGACTGCTGATATTCGTCTGATTTCTTAGATGGCTTCAGTGAAGGCAAGTAAGTCCTCATGGCTTATGTGCTTATCCCATAAGGTGGCACCGCGCCCGAAACATAATACCGATATGCTGAGCCGACAAGCAGGCGCACGTCACATTGTTTATTTCAGACGGTTTTAAGCAGGCTGAAGCTGGAGGACACAGGCGCTCTAATAGTGTTCCGCTTACCCGGAAGCCACGTATAAGGTTCACGCTTTACTAGCGTCATTGGCCCTTACCAGGTGAAAATGCAAATAATCAGCTTACAAACTTCTTCTTAAGATGTGCATTTGATCTTGTGAGCTGTGAGCAAGGGACAGTCGTCCCTTCGTCATGATGGAGTTCAGTTTCAGGAGACTAGGGTTACGTAGAAGTTTTTTGAAAAACTGCCTTGAACACTGTCATGGACCTTTCTTCTCAACTGTAGCTTATGGTTTAGACACACATGTGATGAGACTTAGCAGATGGATGTCTGGAAAGTAGTACGTTGTGTTATCCAGAGAGAACCTTAACATCAAGGGCCAAGTGAGTGGCAACTTCATGCTCTGACTAATTGTTGGCTTTGCTGAGGCAAATATTGCTCCAGATTTTTTTTGCCTGAAAATGAGTGACAGAGTGTTATCTTCATTCTGTATGTGCAGAACCACTCATTGACCCGCTCTTCATATCAGCTGTAGCTGGGGCCATCATAACAGTGCCAAATTTGTGCGAACATCCGTGCTAACAGAATGAAGATGCTTATCTCAGGAGATCCGTTAAATCTCGAGGGAGAAGGAAAGTGATAACCACTTCGGACGCAATTTCCTCATGGAGCCTTTTCTGTTCAGAACCCGTCGGGATGAAGGTGCATGTTAACTTTATTAGATGCCATACAATTAGCTTCTTTGGGTTGCTTGCGCGTGTACAAGATGATATGTCCAGATATTCTGAAAACCCGCAGGACACGGATGGCAATGGCCCTTGTCTTGGATTTTACCTCAAGCTATGGTACCAATGGCCTACAGTGAAAATACAAAGCTGTCTGTGTTCTGTAATTGATATCCGGAGGCTATCAAAGAAAGGGTCCCGAAAATGAGTTCCTGAATTTTTCTAATGTTGTGGATGGCAGAGGGTGATAACTCTAACGCGAAGGACGTACTTGGTAATGTCATCCATTGAAATGGCTGAGGACAATGGTGCTCAGATTATAAACACCTGAACTCATGTGGTCCAAGCTGATGAGGTACGTTATGCATAAAAGCGCACTGCCTTAATGTTGTATCATGCCAACAACTCTGTAGATACGGTAAAATCATCTGTCTTACATATGGAATCTCATTTTGATGCATTTGTATTCAAATCAGCAGACATCAAACAGATCAAACATTGCCCAACTCGAGAGATGTATACGTCCTTTTTTTGATGTGTTTTCATGGAATCAAACGTGTGATCGGTACGATTTAATTTTAAGAAACTGTTGTGATTCAAATTTACAAAAAGCCAGTCTATTTTTAGACTTCTGACCCTCTGCTGATCGAGGTCGACGTTCTCCGCCATGGCGTCTAGCTCTTTCTCTACTTGCAGTCGATGCATGAGCAAAGCTCACGCACTATCTTTGTACTCCGTAATTGGAACCCTGATTCAGTTGCTAAAACAGGCTAGCATCATTTTATTTTTAAATCCTGAAGGATATGTAGTTCTCTAAAGTCAGAAAGTAATATCACTAACGCTCACAATTTCAAAAAAACACAATACTGGCACTGCATCTGAGTGACTGAAAGTAAAGTTGGGAAAATATCAAAAGAGGAGAAGATCGTTCGGAGCTGTTTAATGGTCTGAAATGTGTTTAGCAGGTCTCTGTCTCTCACTCCAAGTTCGTGATCTTGTTCTAAGTTTGAGTATCTTGACAGCCCAATCCTGGTTGCATGAGACAAAGTTTTTTCCATGACATGTTCTTGGGAATATTCAATCTAGAAATCCTCGCAGGTAGTTGCTCTTGTATAATCACACTGCTACATCGCCGTACCCACCGCCTTCTTGATGCTGAACATGGGTGGACATGGGAAACTGGAAAACCAATTTAACCTCGTCGTAATCAGTTCTCTCCAGTCTGGCTTTTATTCCCACAAGAGATGGGCGAAGGTATGATTTGGCCTGTGGAGATGAAAGTCTACAGGCATTAGACAAATCAATGACTAAAAGAGTTGAAGGTCTCATGGATCGTTGTTAGGTGCCCTTGCCCGAGAGAGAGAGAGAGAGAGAGAGAGAGAGAGAGAGAGAGAGAGAGAGAGAGAGAGAGAGAGAGAGAGAGAGAGAGAGAGAGAGAGAGAGAGAGAGAGAGAGAGAGAGACCGCTGTTTATTTCTAATCTTTGACATGCAGTCACTTCAGCGGTCATATGTGCCCGACATTTTCCTTGCAAACAACTTATCGAGCTAGTCGCCGTTACCAGTTGGCCTGGAGGAAAACATCGTTCGCTGCCGTTTACAGGTCTGAAATTGATAGGAGGTCTCTGCAGTTGTTGTCTTTTCATCCCGACGGACAGTTTTCTCTCTTTCTCTCTCTCGCAGTGATCATCGAATTAGTAACTAATATATGAAGGTCGGACGTTGAGACAGACTAATAGATCATTAATGAAGCTTTGAAGGAACCATATGAGAATGTATGAGCACCGTTCAACTTTCTCATCCAATAATCAATCATGTGATTAATTGGATCATGCTCAGACTTCTAGACCTGCAGTCAATCTCGAAATCTGTCCACCATGTTAGCAATCAGTCAGATGGGAGTCTCCAAATTTTGGCTGATTCTGCGGCTGTTGTGAATGGTATAGAATTACAGTTTCCCTTTGTGACTGTCCTAAACCAGTTACTCCAGTTGTCTTCGCTCCGTGTAATCATTGGGTACAATTTCATTGGTTGCTCAGATGACATCTGTGTTGACTCTCTAGTATTCAATGGAGGAACATGCTCCACACTCACTTCAGCAATTTGTAAACCTGAGTTCAATGAACTAGATGTTCGAATTAAAGTTCATCCGGTAGCTTAAAATTGTAGAGGCATGTTCGTTCGAGTCTAACACTTGTTCAAGAATGTGTTTCAGATTGTTTACCGTTTTCGGTGTACTCGAAGTGTACGTCCGTTGCCCTCAGGGGATCTGGACTTCAATTATAACAATACCGAACATTTTTCATCAGAGGAAGTCAAAGGATCTATTGATTACTAATCACAAGTGGTAAGAACTGAGCTCAACCCCCCAGTTGAAGGTATTCTCATTGCAATAAAATATTGAGGTTTACAAATCAACCATTGTATAGGGTAGTACATTTTATCCTCCTTCTAGAAATGTCAATCGTCCTCTGTTACAAGCTGCTCGTTCATCGTTGTTGGTTTGAGGTGCAAAATGGCTCTTCGGGACTCGGTTTGGCTTTCAGCCTGTTGACCGCACCTTCTGCTTCTCGTCTTGAAAAAGTACCCAGGATGGTCCCTATCTATTTGATTCCTTTTGATCTCATCTTTCAGGAGAAAAAGTGTAGAAAAGACAGTTTCCGTTCCAGCCGACCTTTCATCGATGCTTTTGGAACCATTATCTGATAGTTCCAATTTCGATTGGTGGGTGTTCTCATCCTTCCGAGCGTCAGATCACCCCAGATCTTCTCATTCTCCTGCACAATCAGCACTTACGACTTTGAACTTATTCTGGCCCCAACCTATCACATCCCCTTCTTTGCAAAGGATTCTGTATCTGGACCATCTGGGTATTCCATCTGGACACCAGAATCGTCAGCTTACGCAAGAGCCTGGATCCAAAATCTCCTATTTAGACATCAAGCTTGCGCTCGTACTCCTTGTCTCTACATTAACTCTGAATGGTGAACATTTGTAAGGATAAGGGCTACAGCTGCGCTGATTGACCTTTCCGTTTACGTGGTAAGTTTATAGGGACATCTCTGTATACTTGGATGATAGTTCAGGTTGGCCAAGCAATGTATTCTTTCCTTCCTGTGTGTGCCACCCTCAAATGCAATTTCGTTAGTTGGAAGAAAAATTCCTGTCTTCTTTCATTTCATAGACTCCATAATCTGAAAGTATCTGATCTTCCAGAACTTCCAAGTTAAGAATATCTGACCCTGAACTGGTCGGAAATCACCCTTCTCTTCTTCCCTGCTTTCATGTAGTGAGCTCATCTAATATCACCCAATTCAAGGCATGTATTTGGCAGTGGGGTGTTCTGAACCTTCTTCAAGACCTACATCCATCTCTTTCACATTATCGTGAGACCCTGACTAAAGTGTGAAGTTGAAAAATGCATACTTTTTTTTATGAGAACTGACCGACCAACGAAGCCGAAACTCTCAACTGACAAATTTGGTGTCTGTTTCCTCATGTCGGGAGGACATATAGAATGTCCTAGACATATTAAGCTACCTTGACATTTACGTTTCAGAGAGACAGGCAGAATCTGCATACATCACAAGCTAGTGAGAGGTTTTACCCTAAAAAGAAACTCCATCTCTACGGATGATAAAGTTATCACTTTCATTGCTTTGTTCAACATTCGGGATTCGTCTCACTATTATAAGGAGAAAAGACTACTGGGAATCCTCCAATTTAGGTCTCATGATTTTAGAATAAGATGTGAACTTACTCATATTTCTGTGATGGTACTGCGATGTACTCCTCGAGAATCCCTAACCCGATGAGATCCTGTGGACCTAAATACGGAATCATGCATTCCGTCTTTAGTTGAGTGCACCTTAAACTACGACAATGTTCTGATAACAGAACGCAATGGGCTTGGTAATCCATTCCTGAATGTTTTTTCCAAATCATATGCTCATGATTGTTTAGTATGGAGTAGCAGTACTAATCAAGATCATACACTATATCTTGGGTCTTAAAATGAAGTGCTTCATCCAAATCACCGATCCATGAATGTTAATAGGGGTTGACAGGCTGGAAGCAGAATTATGGCCCACGCATGAACTTGACACAGTCCAAGATATTTTGACGGCATTCTTTGGCTCCTCTGTCTCAACTCTGCATCCAAAGATAGAAGGTAGTGACCAAATGATGATGCTTACAAAGAGGACAGATGTTCAGCCGGCAGATTTGGTGACCAAATCTAACTGATTGAGTACTGTCTCGATGACCATCAAATGATACGGTGCGGATTTCACACTATCTAGGATATTTTTGAGACCTAAATATTGTGGTGTGCTGTTTCAGAAGTCAACTATCTTGACATTTGTTTCGTGTGCAGAAACTGACAGGTGCTGAAGAAATGATCGTCTTTCTGGGACAGGTACTAGAAGCCCAATAGCAAATCAATAACCAGCAGATATCTAAGTGGTACGTCATGACTCAATTCACCGTAGTCACTTTTCTAAAATATCTTTAGTAGGAGGCATACTTTACAGCACTCTGAGATTTAGCACTTAGAGCAAAATCTATACGTTGCTTATCAGTTGTAATGGCAAAAGACATTCTCCAGTTGTAGATAAACTTTGTGAAGACAGATCACATTTTTATCTATGGTCATCCTGGTCTGTGTCGAACTCCTGTGACTCAACACAAGAAGTCGTTGATCCGAAATCAGCCAAGAATTTTTTTACGTTTGTCTTAGAGTTCACAAAGAGTCAAGAATGCATATGGAGTTCCTTCAGAGCCAATTGATAACAGCGACTGAGGATGACATAAGAGGACAAAAAGAAAATTCACGAAGTGAAGAAAATGGTAATCAGAGACGAAACAGACTTGAAAATACCAAAGAACTGAGTTCTACGCTGGAGATTCTTCGTGTTTTACGCTTTTAATTTAAAAGCGTAAAACACGAAGAATCTCCAGCAAGTCTAAGTACGAAGCTGAAGACCAAGCAACCGAAACCGCCGGATACAGAAAGAGTAGGAGTTCAAATCCAAGCCGAAAGCAGCATACATCAGAAAAATAAGGCTTCTGACGACATATCAAACAGACACTTGGTAGACCAACTAAGCCCTGAAGAGGAAAGCATTGAGATGGGTCCAAATTGACAGTTCACAGAGAGGTGAGGCAGAAAACAGATAGAGCTGTCTAGGGAAGAAAGCCCGACAGTCGCAGTTTTTAGTGCTCTTTCGTATACTCCAGTAGTGCGTGATCAACCTCGCAACAACTTGCGCATACCTATTAAAGTGGATTTGCTGCTTGTTCCTTCTGTGGGTGAGCAGTTTAGGTTTATCAATTTGATTGCATAATTCTGTCAATCCGAGTGCCTCCGACAGAGCTTTAGATTTCGGCTGATGTTTCTCAACAGTAGGATTGCCGGCGAAAGCTTACATTATCGGTTATTCCTATTATTTGAACTCTTGTCTGAAATTATTCTCAGAGCCATTACATAGAGCAAGACATAGAGAATAGCCGAGAGTCATATTTATAAGTAGTATATAACGCAGCTGAGGAAGATTAACAAGCCTAATTTCTTGGTCATCATGTAGCTTTACTGTTGGAACAAGTTCTTAAATCCTGACCTAGAGTCACCATCTTTCATTATTATCATTCTTTCTGAAGTACGGTGAAAAACTTGTGGATTATATACACTGCACTTCGATAACTGTGGATACTAGTTTGAGAGCGTGCATATCTTACCTTGCAACGAATAATTGCAAGGTAAATATGACGTTGTGCTTTCACTCCAAAATTAGATTCATATGTGTTACCAAATATCAATCAATTTCTACATTTCAGGAAGGGTTGTATACAGCACATGGAATAAAACGTTTCAAATATCTGTAACTTGATAGTTAGGGATTCCAAAAGGAAGTATATAATAATTGTTCACTATGTTAAAAGTTATCTACTCTTGCTTCTATACCGACACAAGGTATGAGCATAAGTAAACAATGAGTCTTATGAGGAGAAAGTGAAAGTCAAATGACGATATTCAGTCAAAGAAATACTTCACTCTTATACTTAATAAAATCTAAAGATAAGATTTGAAGAATATTGCAATTTATTGTACTTTTAGTTCTGTATTACTCCATTTTATATGCTAACAAGTCACGCAAACTATTTCATTTTGTTATATACCCTTGAAGTACATAAAGGAACATTTTTTTTCAAGTTTAAATTCTTAATTTTTTTGCCAACTCCTGATATTGATTACACATGAGAATATGAGATAGTTAGTTGCAAAACTCAACTCATTTGTTGAAAAAAAAACTTCAATCTACTTATACATGTATCAATGACTGCATCAAGTTGTGTAAGTATTTGTTGGTAAAAAATGTTAATATGTATCACATTAAGTAAATTGTGGAATCGGAAATAGATTCACACAGAGTGTTTTATATATATATATATATATATATATATATAGTTTTTTTATATGGGAAAATAGCACTTGTGTTGAGCTTAAATCTTCTTTTGGAATTGTGAATGGCTAATTAAGTTTAGCTAGCAAGTGTCTAACTTGGAATATTGAATCTCGCAACTTATAAATTGCAAACCATTTTCCTGAATTATCAATCACATGTTCTTACTAAGCTCTGGTTGAACCTTGTTCTCTTGGCATCGTGTGTACTTGTGAGTTCTTTTACTATCACTATGTTTTATTGTTTCTCAATTATATGCTTACAAATGATATCAAAGCTTGTTTCTGTTTGTTTACAAAAGTAGCCAGATAAAGCACATCTCGTAGCCGAGATGGTTGGGAAAATTACGAGTCATTTCTTCGACAAATCTCATTTGAAGGTGGAAGACAAATTTGGACCGCAGAATCTAGCGGGCAAACAGCAGCGTGCGCCGTGATGCATTGCACAACGCGACTTGTTGCCATCCCCACGGGTTGTGACTGCCAGGCTTATTCTCACTCATGTTTATTTTGGATAAAGTTTTGGCAGTATATCATGGTTTTAGAATGTAAAGATTTTTCAATTGGTACACTTCTTAAACAACTTCTCACACAAACTCTCAGTCTATTACTCCAATCAATCACATATGATGATAGTGTAGCTTTGCCTTATATTGATGAAACAAATATTCACACAATGAACTCTCTAAATAGTAAGTTAAATAATGACTACCATTTGTTATTATCTTAATTTCTCAAATAACTAAAGTAGAGAGTTGGAGAGTTTTATTCTCCAACTCTCTACTTTAGTTATTTGAGAAATTACGATAATAACAAATGGTAGTCATTATTTAACTTACTATTTAAAATATAAACTATACTAGGTTGGACTAATTTTCAATACGTGGCAAGATGCCATTGGTCTAACTAAACATTCTAGAAGTTTCATAATTCCTAAATTGAGGTGCTACATGTCATTTGAGACTTTCAAACTTCTAAACTTCCACTTAACACTAAGTCAACTTTTGGATCTAGTTTAATCAATAAAATTTCAATTACTTAATTAAACCAATCAAAATTAATCATATAATCAAAAATCTTTTTTCTTGAAAGTTAAATTTTTCAAGAGACAAAAGAGCAGAGCTCACTCACAATTTCTAAAGCTACTCTAATTATTCAATCAAATATAGACATAATAACTAGATTTAGTTATAATAAACTTACCGTTATGTATTCATTCACTTCTTCTAACAACTACTTCACACATACAAAAAAAAGTTCCTATATTACACATCTTTCTCCTCACGTCAACTTGTCACACTTGCGAGACTCCACGTCATACAAACGTAGATGTCACGTTGACATCGCGGTGCCACATCAACCCCTAGGACTTGCGACAGGCTGACACGTGACGAACACGAGGCGCGTATGAAGTGCGGTACGGATGAAACAAATTGCGAGCGGACACCTAGCAAGACAGCATGAGCAAGAGAACATATAGACATGGATGGCACATGCATTACAACACGTAAGTGCAGATAGCACGCGCATGCATAACACATATGCTTGGGCAAGCCACGTAGGCACGGGCAAGACTTGAAGGCTAATGACACAATGTGAGCAAGACACATAGCACGCAAAGAATACGCCAGACGCGTAGCGATCGTGGAGTGAGTGATCATCTGACTAATCACACATGTGAATACGTAAGCGGACACGAGATGGGCAGTTGCAGCGGGTAGATTCTTGCAGTCGGGACAGATTTTGAAAGTATTTTGTCTGAATATTCCATTTGCCAAGAATATTCTATCTAAGGGAATTTTATTTCCGTCAAAATATACCATTTAAAAGGATGTTTTTCAAAATATAGACAAATTGGGTATCATCAGAAAGCTCATGACGCGACTAGTGCATCTAGATATCATTGGAGAGCTTAAAGATGATAGACAAAGAGGAAATTGCCGCAGATTTGCCATTTTTTCTAGTTTTTGTTGAACTAAGGTGACATCAAGACAAGTGGAAGGATCAAACTATGAGAATGTAAAGATCAGACTATGAGATTGTCAGGATTGGACTATGGATGAGTAGATTACCTGCTTTGAGAATAATAAATAAAATGAAGGTTGAAGATTATGAACCTTGTTATGTTGCTCAGGAAGAAGATTGCTAATCTTAGCGATATCAAATGAAGTGATTTACAAAAACATACAGTGTACATCCTTATGGATCATCTAGATTTTTTGGTTATGAAGATCGTGTTGAGTTTACACTTCTTTTGTACGTTCTTCAGCAATGATTTCATCACACAAGACTGTCGAACTGATTGCATGCATCCTTGAAGCTAATGATCTTCAAAATGAGATCACAGATTTGAATCCAAAATGACATCCATGCATACGGTGATCTAGTGATAGATCTCTATAATCTAGTAAGAATCTAGTTTTATTCACAAATGAGGTGCACGAAGAAATGATGACAAACTATCGCCCATTCACATCCAAGATGACACTGACAATAATCACGTTTAGATGATTACAGTCACTTTCAAGGGATCAAGAAGATCGTTAAAATGTTAAATCCATGAATACAAGCCCTAAGAGAAAAAAATTTGAAACTAGGGATAAATCTTTTGAGATGAAGATGATGGGTTGTTAAAAATGTGGCAAGAGTGGCCACATCAAGAAGTATTGCTGGATAAAGGTTAAATCATAGTTTTTACTCCATTAACGAACGTTGTAAAACACTTTGATCCAAAGAATTACGACGTGTTGAAAGATGACTTATGATGATAAAGGTATGTGTTTTGCAATTCATCAAATCTTGTTGATGACGTATGGATTCTAGACTATGCTTCTTCTTATCACATTTGTAATATTAGAAAGTTCTTTTGTACTTTTTCAAAATTGGACGGCTAAGTTCTTATGGAATATGATCAATCTTGTAGGATTGAAGATGTTGGATCTGTGAAGATACACATGTTTAATGGAATAAAATATACATCGACTTACATTAATTTTACACCTAACTTGAGAAAAAACTTGATCTTTCTTGGTCTAAGACGTACACGGCCTAGAATGGAGGTTTAAGATAGGCGTGTTAGATTTTTGATCATATGAAAAGATTAACTTTGAGTATATAAATACAATAATCTATTCTTGCTACACGTCATTACTATTTGTAAAAAAGTTCAATTAATCAAATCTTGAGTTGAGATTTCTCATGTATGGCATTGCAAACTATGTCATATGACATAGTTTGCAATAGATACATGTCATTCTTTGATAAGAAGAAAGTGTTATCGAGTTTGGGTTAAGTTGATTTAGCATGTTGCAAACATTGTATTATGGATAAACATCATAGTTGAGTCTTTGATGCTGGAACACATAATTATAAGGAGATACTGGAATATATACATAGTGACGTGTGGGGACACTCTCCTGTTGCCTCACTCCCTAGAAAGTTGTACTATGTATCATTTAAATATGATTACTCAAGGTATATGTGACCTCATTGTCTAGATAGTTGTACTATGTATCATTTGAAGATGATTATTAAAGTATGTGTGATCTCACTCTATAGAAAGGTCTACTATGTATTATTTAAACATGATTACTCAATGTATGTATGATTGTATTTTCTTACCCACAAATCTAAAGTGTTTTCAACTTTCAAAAGTTGGTGAACCAAAGTTGATACTTAGACGAAACACAAGGTGAGATATTTGTGCACAGATAACGGTAGGAAGTATATGTCTAAACTATTTTAAAGTTACTACAAAAAGGAGTAAATTACTCGTCATCTCATCACGATTTATACTCCGTAACAAACTTTGTTTCTAGAAATTTTAACCAAATTGTGTTAGAGAAGCTATGTAGTATGTTCATCCAATCAAATTTACCATGTGAATTTTAGATTGAAATTGTCAACAACACAATTTACTTGATAAATCTTTTCCTTTAAATGAGATCATATTTTTGAGACCTTTCAAATTGAGACACAAATGAATGACTGATTATAGTCGTTTGAGAATTTTTGATTGTAATGTTTATACTCTCATATCCAAATAAAATAAGATTAAGTAAGATACTACATCCAAAAGTGTCATTTTTTAAATATGCTAGTGTTGTGAAGGATTACAAGTTATGCTATCCATTAATCTCTAAGTTTCTTGTCAGTAGAGATATTTTTTT